AAAAGCAATACAGCTTATAGGCATATAACAAAATATACATCGAATTTCAATACACACATACATGTATAAACAGTAATAGAAATCGAATAATATTGATATAGAATCGTATGATAACAGTAGCGGAGCATGATACACAACATTTATGAATTACGAAGTTTTTCGGCAGCATATAAATATTTCCCTAAATTATTAAGTTATTATACATTTTGTACTGATAATAATTGGACAAGTGTTTAAGCTGATGGATTTCTCCAATAGTATTATTTTATATATCATTTTCGTATATCTTCATATTTCTTACATATCAAAATAAAATGATACTCATCTTCAATCAATCTATTATTACACATTGTACAAAATCTTTCTTTTCTGTTTATATTATAAAAGCGGCCTTTTTCACTCTGTAAACAATGTGCATGTATTCTATATTTACAAGTTAATGCTTTAAATACACAATTGACGGCTCTTAAATAAAGTTGTAAACCATGTGTATCGTATATATATTTGTAAAAAATACACTTTGAAGACATTGCTTCATTTACAAAGTGATCAGTAAGTCGTTGTTTATACTCAATTAGAAATTTATCTACACGATATTTGCATTGGTTGAACCAATTATAATTAAAACCATATGCATATAACATATCTCGTATTTTACAAGCCCAATTCAGTCTATTGTGTAGCTTTTTACAAATAGATTATAACATGGTTTTTATCTGTATTTAATATTTTAAACCAGTATTTCATCATTCTACAATATCTATCAATATACATAGGAAATCTTCCTAACTCAACGTAAACCATATAATTTACTGTAGATTTCCTAACTTTTAGGGTTCGTTTTAAAACATTTAAATGCACTGTTTCAATATCTTCTCCTTTGAGTAATCCCCACACTTCACAATAATAATCTTAAATACATGACACGTATTTGTCAAACAACGACAATAAAGTTTCACAGTTATGATAATCATTCTTGATTGTACTATCCATATTAAACACTGCTTTTCGGCCTTGATTTGACAACATCTTTTCAGTCTCAAAAAGGTGCCATTAAAATAAAATAAAATTCCTAAGTAAATAAACTGATCACTTATTTCAATCTTATCTTCATTCAAAAACCATATTTCTTCAGGTATATATTCACATAGTTTAATTCATGGCTGTGGAAAACAATTCTTTGTGGTAGTTCCAAGGGATATTCAAATTCAATTTTCGAAAACGAACTAACAATATCATGGCAACAAAAAACGAAAAATGACCAAAAGACAAAGAACAGTCTACAAAACACAACATAGAAAACATAAGACTAAGCAAAGAAAGGGTAAATCAGGAAATAACACCCACGTTCTAGCTTAATTAGCAAATAAGAAATGATATTCCGCGCATGGAACCGGAAGGAAAATTCAACAAAACAGCGGAACTGGACTCACCATACATCCGTCATTTACATATCTTATTGATAATCATCATCTAATTCAATTAGTGAAAGAAAAAGCATTATATCTCTTTTTATAAATGAACCAAGTCTAGTTCATAGGGTAGACTTTCTTCCCGGAATATCAGATATAGACATGGGCTCTTCAGTGTTTGACATGAGCACCGTGAAATTTTAGAAACAAAATAGTCACCAAAGATAAAAGGCTTATAATCTTAGTAGGCCAGACGCGCGTTTCGTCTACACAAGATTCACCAGTTGCGCTTAAAGTTTAAAAAGATTGCCAACCCATTAAAGAAGTTGAAGAGCATTGAAAACAATTAGTGCCAGATATAAATATGACTAGTATAAAATTATGGAGACTTGGTATGATTGTTTATTAGACAATCATCAACCAGAGACCAAAGGACGAGAATGTTAACAACTGTAGGCCTTACCAACGTCATCGGTGCATTGGGGAAAATAACACTTACTTTCAGGAATGATTTAGACAGTGTGTTATCAGTAAAGTTAAAGAAATGACCGCATCAATAATATTTCATATCGCAACGGAATGCTGACCACTGATCTTTTGATACCATTGAGAACGACTTAGACTTGTTCCCAGATATGATACAGCAAACGATGATGGTTTCAACAAAATTGACAATATGCAGTCAAGACATCTACTGCAAGCGATATGTGAGATACATTAATTACAGCATAGCATAAAGGAATTAAGACACCACATACCAAATAGAAATTCTAAAATTGAAAATACCCGAAAACTGGGGCTGTTTCTAAAGAATAACATACGGAAATTGTATGTCTAAAAGAAGGACGAAAAATACCAGAGGGACAGTCAAACTCATAGATCGAAAACTGACAACGTCATGGCCAAAAATAAAAAGACAAACAGACAAATAATAGTACAGATGACACAACATAGAAAACTAAAGACTAAGCAACACGAACCCCACCAAAAACTGGGGGTTATCTCAGGTGCTCCGGAAGGGTAAGCAGATCCTGCTCCACATGTGGCACCCGTCGTGTTGCTTATGTTATAACAAATCCGGTAAATAGTCTAATTCGGTAGGTCACATTCGTGAAAAGGGAAGGGTATTGTAGTTACGACGTAAGGAACATATCCGATATCATCTGTGAAACGGTTATTCCATAACGGTCAACCAACTCGTGATGGCGTCCGTAAAATTTACGAAGGGATGATTTCAACTTCACCATTTGGAACTCTTGGTTTAATATCTTCCTTGTGAGCAGCAATCCTCTATCAAGGAAATCATGATAGGAAATACAAGCCCGGGAATATCGTATCAATTGGGAGATATATGCTAATCTTCAAGAAGATCAAAAATTATTTTTTTGAATACTAATATGTAGTTTAATAAGTGAACCATAGTTGTAAACAATTTAAAATCTCATGAACTGTATGTAGAAACATAGATTGATAAATTACTTATTGAGTTAAAGTATGCAATTGTTATATTATAAGAGATCAAGTCATCAGTCTCTGGAGTACCACAATGCTGAGTACCTATCTTCCTTCTGTACTGAATCAATAATGTGCTTGAAGACTTAATCCTACAAAATGTCTGTTTGCAGAAGTCACAATTAAACTATCGGAATCTTGGATCCTCAATGATCTTCAACTTCTTACTTTGTTTTTGACTTTTGATTTGATTCGAGTGTCACTGATAAGTCTTTTGAAGACGAAATGCGGTCTTGGTGTACAAAATTTTTATTGCAAACCTAACAATTACATTCGAAGACTGTGGAGATATACGTCAACAAGATATGTATCGAATAGTCAGATAGGGAAAAAAACAATGGGGCATGCAACTTGAGCTAGGCAATTGAAACATTGTGAGCATAATAAATAAACGACACCAACTGGAACCAACTACGATCTTCATTGCAATAACTTAGAAGAAAACCAAGTATCCAAATATTTAGTAGTAACTATACAAAACAACTTGATATGGGATCCATACACTTAACAGAAGACTTTAAGGACAAAGCTAATAGACGATTTCTTCGAAAAAACATCGGATTCTCCTTTCAAAAAACAAACAATTATTAGCAAGGTATTAAGATCCGCTTTCTCTGCTTGGGACAAAGCAAATAAAGACTCTAATACACACAAGATGTAAAACATCTTACACCCTATACGAGATTTAAAGGCCTCATTATCGGACATTCCAAAATCAAAACCAAGTTACTTTAAATGCCCTACTGTCTACCTAATAGATTATTTGATTATCAATTTGACATGTAAACTATTGTTTTGTATCATGGAAAATGCATGCATTTGGATAATGTCTTTTTTTGCCAACGGAAAGCAGTATGTAGGAAGAAAACACATCCAAATGCTATCCATTGCCACACTCGTGTATTGATGCGCAAAAGATGTATTATCTCTCACAAACTGCAATAATGTCAATGGATATTCCACAAGCAAATCCAAAAGTTATCTTAACGGCTCTAGTATATAACTGATAGAGCATTACATGTTCAATTCGACGTGTACAGGTTTGTTTTAGTATCATAACAAAAGCATTTGAATAATATCTTTTCCTGCTAACGGAACATGTTAGAAATCAGGATAAAGCAGAATCGTTGATATATTAAAGGAGGTTATTACCCGTCAGATGACGCATTGGAGAAAAATATCACCTGTCATTTTAGCTTGTAATATGAATCTAGGATATAAAGAACAAACCCACAAAACCTTAACTACAAAGTTCATATACGACAGATGTAAAGCTTTTGCCTGATTTGACAATGGACGTTTTTCAGACTGTAATTTGTCGTGTGAAATTGTTTTTTTATAGTTTCTTTTACGCTCAGTAAGTCATTTGTAAAAAAATTTTCCCATTTACTGGAGATTCATTTATTTTCGTGAGTACCAATTTTCGTGGATTTAGAAAAACTTACAGGAATATGACAGTTGTTTTTCATTCCTATGATGTGTTTGAGCTTTTAATTTTGCCATTTGATAAAGGACTTTTCGTTTTGAATTTTCCTTGGAGTTTGGTTTTTTGCTATTTTACTTTTTACATGTTCACGGGTATCTATTTTCGTGGTTTTGCCGTATTCTGCATACAAGCCTATAGGAAATTTGTCATTCGTTGACATTTGATTTCGTGGTTCACTTATACCCATGAAATCCACGAAAATTGGTATCCAACGAATAATAATGAATCCACAATAATTTGACATACATGAGTTTAATCTAATCATATCATCATATACATGTCCTTTGATAAATTTGGTAATCACCCGCTGAATTTTGATCTAACCTACGAAACAAGGATCCACTTATAAGTAAAAACCTATACGGTAATCTCGTTTTTTACACATTTTCATTGGAGGTTGGGGGGTGGGGGCATCTTATAGAGAATTTGCATTGATTTAATATACAACAATATTATGATCAATTACGTATTTACAAACATTTCTCAATATAAGGTTAAGCTTAATAATATCCCTTTATATAACAATTATATGACAACAGTGAAGCCATTTGATAATATTTGTGTGTTTGTTTTATTTTGTAGGTACAAACATTGCTTTGTATTTGCTTGTTTATTGTCCACGAAAGACTTGCAAGGGTGAATGCAAGCTGCGAAGTGCCAAAATCAGGGAATGAAACGTTGGCCTCTATTCCGCCAGTATTAGGTTCGGTGGATTGGAGGAACCTTGGTGATTATCCAGGGTAATTATGTCCTTACCGTACATATATCTTATGTATATTGCAGTGTATACAATGTATTTCGTTTACATTCTACTGCACGATCATATTAAAGTGAAAATATCCCTATCATGTAAGAATGAAAGGCAGTTATATCTAATAATTAATGATACACCGATGTAGACAACTTAATATTATATTACTTATATTTTAATGAGTGATTTGCGTATTAGTTGACCATTGGAATAGTTTATTTTTTATTTCATAATCATCTTTAACATAGATCTTAGTTGTTGTTATACTTTTGTATCGATCGTTTTATATTTCAGGCATAGAATTAAAAGATTCATAAAGAAAAACAACTTAAAGAAAAGTATTACAGAAGCCGAATCAAGACTGGTGTTTTGTAATGCGTGAGTAAACATATAACATGTCAAAAATAATTCATATGAAATATCTTATACCATTAAAATCTGTCGGATGAATTCAATATGAAACAAATATCACAGTAAAGGCTGTTTTTAATATTAACGCCATCGAGACCCCTACCCCCTGGTTCTAATTTTCACGATCTGCTCTCGTAATATTTTGCATATTTATTTTCATTTGCAGGAGAGAAGCAAAATTTCAAATTCCTGATCTGCTTCCAATGCTAATAGCAGAACAAACATGCTCTCCGTTTGACACACAAGTTACCATACCAGATAGAGTGTTAATTGAAGGCTTTAAATGTTGGATATTGGAATCATGGCGCAAAGTTAGAAGATGTAGTTATGTTCAATGTAACTCGTAAGTAGAAGGAAACGACAAGTAGGTCAAAAGATAAATAATATTAAAAAAGGAAAGAGATGTTTTGTTTGTTTATATTCGATAGTTATATTCTATCAACATCGATAGTTCTTGTAGTCAGGATTCAATTTGACTTAAAGTAAAAATGATCAAATCAAATTTTCCCGTTGGTAGAACCAAAAAAGGCGACCATGCCTGGTGACGTCACACAGAGAGAACATACATTTTTACACATCACTATAAAACGATAAAGTTTGACTGCATACCTTCTAAAATTCATCAGAAAAACAGATTCCACCACCAAATCTCGTGGAATGCAACTATTCTTAATTCTCGACATTTAGATTTAAAATATTTTTAACTACTCGGCAAGCCTCGTGTTTTGAATTTGAAAATAAACTGTCTCGAGTGGAGAAATATCGTATCACACTCGATGAAATTGTAGAATCTATATGTCTATGATTCTTAACTGAAAATTTCCACCAATCTGTTGATTAAATTTTGACAATCAACGTGTGGATTGTTTGATCGCTATTCTTCATTGGTTGAAATTCAATCATCTTGTAAAATTTTCTTATTTTGACATTAAATATGCGAGCATTGATCCGATTATTTTTGTTAATTTCCTGTTTTTAAAATTGTTAAATTATTCGATACACTATGGATTTTCAACCCAGGCATAGATGACCTTAGTCGTATTTTGCACAACTTCTGGTTTTCAGTATTCTTCAACTACATACGTGATTTTTACTTTCAACTTTTTTTATTGAGCGCCACTGATGAGTCACTTATTGACGTAAAAACACCATTGTGACGTAATGAAAAAAGTGAACATGCCCGATGACGTCACATAAATAAAAAGAGCACACTCTTTTTTCAGATCACCGAAAATGAAAACGTTTGCCATCATATTGTCAAAATATTACTAGAGAAATAGATTCCACAATCGTATCTCGTACGATACGATATTTCTCCATTATCGACCGTTAAAATTTGAAATATATTAGCTCGGGAAGCTCTTCGTTTTAAAGTTGAAAATTTCTCGATAGAAGGTAGACATTGTATCACATTTTATGCAGTAGTAGAATTCATATTTACCATGATTTCTAGCTGGCAAGTCATCAACATGATAATTTGAAAACCAAACTTAAGTAAATCAATGCATTAAATACGTATACATGCATACATCCTTCCTTGGTTATAAAAATTACGCGTTATGATATTTTGTAGAATGCTTGCATTTGATATCCAAAACTTTATTTGTATCATTATTTTTAGAGGCATGGATGACTGTCAAGTACCATTATCCACCAGTAGACCTGTTCCTGATAAGTTTAAGTGCCGAGCCACAAATCCGAGATTATTAAAGGTGTATGCATTTTGTGTTGATGACAGCAGAAGAAGACGTCAGTACCACATGACGCATTTTACCATTCCTCTTCCTCAATGCTGTACTTGTGTTCGATTTCAATGTTTAAGGAAAGGATGATTGATAATTGCTTATGATTTTTTAGTGATTGTTACTTCGTTAAAATATCTTAATTATATCACTTTTAAAATCAATAAACAAATGATTAAAATAAGCTGGTAAAAATTGTTAACGTCTGTACATTGTAATTTTTCAAGTTGCTTAAACAAAGAGGTGGGTGTTTTTGTTTGAAAGATGACATAAATTATAAAAATAATATTTTTTCTTGTTGTTTTTTTTTCACTTATATTTTGGAAGTATATAATTATTATATAGCATTACGATGGGATTTGAGTTTGCTTTCTCGTCATTCATTTCATTAAACACGAGTTAGCTTATCTCATTGAACTAAGGTAACAGCGTAGATACGTCGGTAAGATGAATTTTGATAAGTCAATTTGGAAGAGGAAATGTATTCAATTTAATTTTGATTTAAATCGGACACAAAGAGTTTTTACTGTGTTGTTTTTATTTTGTTTACCCTTGTATTTTATCAACTTAATTATCGAGAAAGTGTATACTATTTACGGTATGTCCTATCAACGACAAACTCTTTTTTTGTTGTTGACGTCATTGTCTAATTTATGCCACGGGTGAGTCTTTTGTAGACGAAACTCGCGTCTGGCGTACAGAGTTTTGGTCTTGGCATCTATGATGAGTTTTTACTATTTACTTCATCCTTTTTGTTGGCGTCTTTGTTAGATTAATTTGTATGTTTGTTTGAATTTTTTTTGTCATTTGTGTTGTATGTCTGTGATGTATATATTTACACAGTTTTGACTGCTGGATCCAAATTATTGTCACATTAATCTATAATGTCTGTTTGTGTTGCTTACCCAACTTTGTCAATATTACGGACCCATACACAACTGTCATTCAAGAGGAAGGTTTAGCTAGCTATAAATCCAGATTTAACCCACCACTTTCTTCGGAAAATGCCTGTACCAAGGTGTTTTTCACTTGTTCCGTTGATTGATAACGTTTGATTTTGTCAGTTTTTATGGACCTCGCCTTTTTGAATTTGCTTTGGAGTTCAGTATTTTTGTTATACTTTTTTTATGAATAACATGCATGCATAAATTAAGGAGATGTGGAATGATTGACAATGATATCACTCTCCACCAAAAACCAAAATGACAAGATTGTAAACGACCACATGTCATTTTATGATTGTTTTTATCAATTTTGGTAATGCATAGTGGTTTTCAGTCTAATTCAGTGAAGAAAGTCTATTTACTGACGCATTTCATTCTTAGCTCATAATACTTTTGCTAGACATATTATTTATTATATATTGGTCTGTTGTTTAACACCTTTTTGATAAACAAACGCATCTCTACAAATAAATAACAACTAAGATAAACAAAAGGGGGCGTCCATAAAACCTAATGCTTATCATTGAAATAAAAGAGAAGTATATTGAGTTTTGTTTCCGTTAACCATATTCAATTTCACATGAAAATGCATGCATTAGACAAAAATACTGAAATGGTCTCGAGGTAGTATTATTTCCCTTTATTGACAAAATTCATTGAAAACTTATCCTGTTTTTTTAAATAAGAAAAAGTTGTATTTTGGAACCTTTGGACCTTAATGTGGAACAATTTGAAGACAGGCCTCAAAATTTAAAAAAATCTAAATATACAATGAGCTTCAGCATATCAAGGAACACAAATGATTTAATTTTTATAGAAATCAAACAAAGTTTAATTTTGGACCCTTTGGACCTTAATATGAATCATTTCAAAAACAGACCCTAAAATCCAAATATTAAATACCCGTAATAAGAGCATGAATTTACATTTCGTAAAAATAACAAATAGATAACTTTTCTTACAAAAATCATTCATCGATTTTTTTTTATGGTCTTATACCATTCAAGCTAAATAGACAGAATAGATAAAAGAGGCATAAGATACCAAAGGGACATACTATTTAAGCTAAATAGACAAAAAGAAGCATTAGATACCAAAGGGACAATAAAAAAGAAATCCTCCCTTAATTAAAAGTCGACAATACCATGGCCAAATTGCCAAAAAAGAAGGAAAACGACGAAAGTTTCTATCTCTGAGCTTTTGAAAAGTCATCAAAAGTATTACTCAGATGATTTCATCACTGATATTCACATGCATATTTCAGAAATTGCTTCCTGAATTTTTTTTACGTCCATCCCTCATAACAAAAGATAAGTTGAATTACGGAAAAAATCTTGACAAAAGTAAACATACAATAATAATTCGCCAAATTTCCACAAAGTATCGTGAGCGTTGTTCTTAATTTAAGACTTGTAATGACTAAAGGTGTAAGGATAGTGTCAAAGCCTACAGGTAGCATTGTCCTTTATGGGATATACATATATATATATATATATAAAGATGGAAGCGGAACTTTACCTTAAGAGATTGAAAAGTGTAGATTTCGAAATATGACACGCCTATGTGAAAGGTACAAGTCTCAATCCATAGAGGATGAATTCATTTTATGTTGTTTTGTAAACGCTTTGAACAATTGAGAACAACACTATTCAATGACATCCGATACAATTACAACATAGATTTCAATACGCTACTAGTGAACATCAGATTATAATATTTGTTTTGTAATTACAGCAAGCTTGTTTCTAACTTTATTCTGAGCTGTTTTACCATAAGACAATTTGTGGTTAATTGATAACGTGCCTTACTATATTTTCGTCTAAATTTGAACTTTATATATAAACTATAATCACTCTACGACAGATCCATCCATTGGATGGATCTGTCGTAGAGTTGTCACTTGTTTAGACGTACTTATCAAATAATTATTTCTTTGACTGCATCTTACGATCCTTAACGAAAGATAATTTAACTAATCTGCAATCAATTCCATCTTCATGCCTAATATATCATGTACTGTGTTACAACTGTAGATTCTAATGACGAGGAAAGGTAACACGTACTAGGCCACCGAAAGCTGAATTTTTTAGTTAAGTCTAGGTGGCCGAGTGGTCTAGATCGCTGGACACAGTGCAGGCGGTGTTGTCTCGTTATCCCAATAGCATGAGTTCGAATCCCGGCGAGGGAAGAACTAAAAATTTGCTTCCGCAAGATTGTGCTGATATTTATTGACCTTTTTAACTTTTTTTGATTCGAGCGTCACTGATGAGTCTTTTGTAGACGAAACGCGCGTCTGGCGCAAATACAAAATTTCAATCCTGGTATCTATGATGAGTTTATTTAGAGTAGTTATGAATATAATATGTATTTTCAGCCGTGTATCACCTTGACTGGTGATCCAATAGATGGATCTGTCGTAAGAGTTGTCACTTGTTTAGACGTACTTATCAAATATTTTTTTTCTGTGACTACATCTTACCATCCTTTACGAAAGATAATTTAGCTAATCTGCAATCAATTTCATCTTCATACCTAATATATCATGTACTGTGTTACAACTCTAGATTCTACTGACGAGGAAAGGTAACACTAGGTCACCAAAAGCTGATTTTTCTAGTTATAAATAGATACATATATGAATTATATCTAAAATACAACAGCTGTATGGTATACATATGAAACATCATAATCATATTAAAGTTTTGTGAACATTATTCATTAAAGCAAACATGTTTGTGTTAATCAAATGACGCATAAAAAGAATGTAAAAACGATAATTTTATTTGTTTGAAAAAAAAATCTTTAAATACATGTAACCCTTTTAGTCTTTTGGCTACACTGCAACAATATTTCACATCTTTTCAATTCTTTTTTTAATACCAAAAAATATTATCAGTAAACCGATAGTCCTTGTTGTAAATTCGTTTTTACTTGACAATTGTGATCAAAATATGGAGATTCTTCTAAAACATATACTCAATGAATGGGCTTCTGGAGAAGAACGAAAAGCAGCTAGCATTCCCTTTTACTACCAAGTCTGGCAGATAGATGACAACTCCTTTCAGCAGAATAATCTAAAGTTTTGTTTCTCTATTGTGGTTTTTTTTCGCGATTAGTATTATTTTTTTTCAGATTGAAACACGAAATAAAACCTATTAAGCTATATTCTATTTGTTTTTGGAATACTGCACACGCAGATGAAGGTTCATTTTAGGACTTATGTGGCCCTGTACGTTCATTAAGATAACGGCAAAGCAAACAAACACGATTCTTGAGGTACCAGTATTGTATTACAACTCATGCTAAAACATGAAGTGAAATAAAATAAAATAATCCATTTTTTGGTAAATTTTTTCTGGACTCAAAAAAGTTTATGCTGAATTGAAACATCTATTCAGATGTAAAAACAAATGATGCATCTTTTTTGGTATATCAAACCAGGAAAGTGGAAGGATATCATGTTAACTTGAAGTGGTGCGGACTAGTAAAAACAGCAAGCAGAAAGTAGTTTTGACTTCAGGGATTCATAACTTTTTATTATTTTTATGAGGTACTTATGCTCCATTAGATCACATTTTGACATAACTATGTACATGAAAAAAAAATTCTATGTATCATTTTATTAAAAAGAATTCAGGGATCAGCTGTTTTGCATGTAACTTGTATGGAGCAGTCAATTACAAGACTGTAACCTTGATCACTTCTGATGATACTCATGATGAAAATGTGAAAAAAAAGTTTAGGATTGAAAATAAATGTTGACCACGACGTTAAAAGGAAGATTCGTCGGATATTGAATTGATATAGAATACAAACATTCCCAAAAATAATTTCCGACATATAAATGTAATAAGGCACTTTTGCCTTATATTAATAAGGGAGAACACATCTCAGCGTGTGCAATTAAAACCTTGCTTGATGCTGTTGTTTTGATTCTCATATTTGTTATTTCATAATTTTACTGAATGAACCCTCATGTCAGTACACTGTTGAAACTGATATGAAATATGACAATGTTTTTTTTCTAATCGGAGTACATATAATAAACAGTATATTTGAAGACTGCAGTAATTTCAAATTATATTTCTGTGCATATATATCAAATAAAACAATAACAAACTATAAATGTATTTACATTGAATTTGTTCTTGTCAAAACACTATATCAACACGCATACTAAAAACAAAACAGAAGCAGTGCAATTAAAAAGTCGCCGATTGTTCAGTGTTCTCCTCTTGATTGTAGAACTTTCAATTGCTATATATTGTAAGCGGAGATCTTCAATTTGCAGAAACCCCTTATTGCTCTTCGTCCCTATATTCAATGAGTACGTTGCGCTTATTACTAAAAAGAAATTGTGTGAATTTGTATGAAAGCGGAGCTGGTTAAATGAATGGGTCCGTTGAAATGATTAACCAGGAATATTTCTAAGGAAAATTTCTCTCATATTATAAATTACCTTAAAAAGCTATTTTCATAGTATCCAATATACTAAATAGTATTCATAATTCCTTCTTTACAGCTTATAGAACATCGCATAGACCATACATTCTGTGTGATAGAACCATATGAATATTGAACAGATGTCCCTCTTTTGTTTGAACAATTTTCTTATTACAACTATATAAAAATACATTTTACTCCTTACATATGTTTTGTAACAGACCAATTGACAAAGTAGTTGCATACTAAATTGATTCAAATGATTGTTTTATCGGCAGAGAGGGTTTATCTCTGAACGTCGTATAATGCTGCCCAGAAAGATTCCTTGAACTTGTCAATGTCTTTATTACCCAATGGAAGGAAAAGTTTATTTAAACATGTGTAACTTGTCGGATAACACATATCCGGATTCATGTTGTATTCTACACAGAAGGTTTCTTCTATGATAGGAGGATCATAAAGTCCTGTAATGAATGCAAACAACAGTCGTGCTTGCGTTTCTGAAATAAACAAACAACAGATTGAAACACGTAAAACATTTTTGGACTGTTTTCATGAATTTGATTATTAAATGAGCCAACCGGACAGCTCAAACGAACCATGTGAAAATTTGAATCGTATTCCATATGACAATTTTTTTAACCACTGAAATAAAAAAATATTGATTGTTGCACGGTATCTTCTTATTTTTGTATAGGAATCACAGACCTAATATTAAACAAGAAATAGGTACCAATTGCTGTGGATCAAAATTCTTTTTGTTTGTTTTTCTACATTCATTGTTAATAAAAATGAACGCTGGGAAAAAAGACCAATGGAGTTTTCGAAATATTCCAGTAGTATGAGGTATATTCAAATAATGCCTCTAATCCGTTTAAGAAATGTTTAAAAGAATGGTATATTCAATCAAATGATTTGATACTGAAAAGCATATAATTCTAATCATACTAACCATCAAGGGCACCAATGCACACTTTTGCTTGTTTCTGTGCTTTTCTTTGTATATCGGTTTTTGTAGGCAGTTTGTCTAGCAGTGGTTCTAATTTCTGCTTCACATAATTGGCAGTGATACTATATTGTTCCGAATACACAAATAAAGGTTCAAACCACGTATTTGTTCTAATAGTGTCCAGAAACCCCATGTAGTTAAGACCTTTTTTCAGCTGTTCGACCTCTGAAAGTCTTTGATCTATGACAAACCATTTTGTAATGTAATGCAGCAAAGAATGTTTGTTTTTCAGCTAAAACAAGAAATAAGACTAATATGCATACTGAGTTGTAAGAAATGCAAATACAATAGTGTATCCGTGTTTTTGTTGTCTATTTATCACTTGTGAATAGGGAATAATAGCCTGAATAATAAATGAACTAAACTTCAAAGCATATACATGTGTATATAAAATCAATGTCCAATGTCCAAGGTTTTCAATTTAGACTTGTTAAAATCAATGTCCATATATTATGTTTACTTTTAGGACTCACGAGGGTACAACTGGTGATTGACTGTCATTTTAAAACATTTATTTCATGACTGCAGGTACATGGCAATATTGAAACATACTAGCAACTTGCAAGAAAGTCATTTAGTCCAATCGGTGACGTAGAGTATTGTGCCTTTTTCTGTTCCCTAATTTTTATCTATGTACCTTTTTGTTCCAGTAATAGAGATTTTTAACAAGGATAGAGTTGAATAAAAAAAAAACTAAACTAGTTAATTCGTCTGTACGAAGTGGTTGTCTTTAATCATATCTCAATGCTTTTATATGTATAAAAAATATTACCGATGGCATCTACGGATCCTTCCAGTCTATCTAAATATATGATAACATAACATAACTCTCTACCCAGTAACTGTACCGAATGTTTGCAAACTGATTTTTTTTCCCTAGCAACACTTCAATGTATTTTTGACTGAGAAGCACTTTAATATCTGGCACCACAACTATGATAAAAGAATAAAAAGACTTACCGTCATTGCTTGCCCTCCCGGCCAACCAATAAAATTCAAAAAGTTTGCACTGTCTTCCGAAACGGCATCAGTCATATCGCACTCTTTTTCGGCATCTTGAATCTACAAATTAATTCAGATATATACCCCTAACAAATATATTTTGCTTACGCTTGCCTGAAACTTCATGTTTAACTTCATAAACACATTTTTTGTAAAAAAAAAAGAGTATGCCGACATTTTGCCTTTCCTTAGTAGTGATGGTGTGTGTGTTTATCATTTGGTACGATATGTGTTTGTTTGCAGTGACGTCTCAGACGCGATGGGCGTATTACTTTTAGAAATTACAACAAGATATAAATATTAATTTCAGAATCATTCTTCTAAATTTTATCACACTATTGCATATAAGAATTTATTGTGGAAGTATGATTCCAATCACAAAATCTGACAAAAATGGCATTATAGACTAAGCTTTATGTTGTACATATCGTATGATATATCAGGCAAACAAGTTTAGGACTTTCCCCTTTAGATCGCCTATCCATAATTTTAAACACGACAAACATTTTTTCTTTAATTCTGTACTAAACTCTTTGATGATGAGTGCATTCCATGAACTCATTTGTATACGCTTTTCTATCAACCAACTGTTGTTATACTGGTCGAGATTAAAAGGTGGAGGATTGAGTGCTACTTTAATCCCGCCACACGTTTGTATGCCCTTTTAAAGTCAGATCAGTAAATACCCTTGTCAGTGATAGTCAATCGCGTTATCATACTATGTTTCCATTGGTAAATTTGGTACTGATGTCAGATATTTGATACTTTTTGTTAATCATTTAAGATTTTTTAGACTTAATAGGATTTATAGCTTAATTTTTAAGTGTGGGGAAATGTACTTACCTTTTTAACTGTATTCCATACATCACCTAGGGGTATGTCACTAATGTTCAGGCTTTGTTCTATTTCATCATCACTTTTTTCAAGTATTAACATAAATACAGCTTTGTTAAGATATGGAAATCCACAGTCCCCATTCAAAATGGCCTCTACTATCGCAATACCTAAGGCAGTAAATTCATCTTTTTTCGTTATATCATGTTTTGGAAGCTGGTTTCTACCGGAACCTTCAAAAAGTCTTTTCAGACACTCTTGAAAGAACATTGAATAATATTGTCTCCGAAATCCACTTCCGTCGACATCAAACTTATTGGCATCTTCTCCAATAAAAGTAATCACAGGACATTCATGCGTAGGTTTCATTCCAGTGCGCATGGTCCTAATCTTTCCAATGTAACGAGCCATGGCATGTTCATAAATTTTCTTTTTGTCCACTTCCATTTGAACAACTTTTTCTGTGTTTCCAGTTATTTGGTCAATAGCTGGTTTAATACCCTCACGATAGGAATATAAATCTGTTGTTAAAATAACAACTAAAGTGAACATTTTGAAAAGAACAAAATGCAATATAAAGCAAATAAATCTCATATTATATTAGCCTACCTGGGATGCTGGTGCACTGCTCGCCAGTATAGGAGCAGGTGAAATACAACGTCATGTATTAACTTATTAGAATTTATTTGGGGTAAAAATGACCGATTGTTGGATTGGATCATTCCTTTGCATATGGCGGTTTTTATAACCACGAATTTTTTGAAATTATTCTAAATTCACACAAACTGCTATCAATAGTACAAATACAGCTTTTCTTGCCAAAACGTTTTAATTTTCATTGTAAATCAACTGTTCATTTAAGATTCTATCAATTAATTTATTTTTCACATAACGCGCAAGTAAGCAATCCCCGATAAGCACTGAAACGTGGTTATGTGACTTATTCGCCACATCTTGCATAATCGACACAGATTAGAATATGATCCCAGCTTAATAGTTAATTTACTGCTATTCTTATGTTGGAAAAGGAAATAACAAAATGTCAATAACATTGGATTTTAATGTATCCGAAAACTTTATTGGTGTATATCTATATATTAGATACGAACATTAGGATGTCACATCCTACAATACACAATTTTGCAAGCTGATATTGTATATTAGTAAAGCTCAGTGCCCTTAGCTGCTATTTTCACCAAGGTCCAAAGATCTTTATGAATGCAATTGTGCGGTACTTCTACTACTCAGCTTACAATCCATGGAATTCATCTGAAGATGCACTAAACTCTTGTTTTATGTCACTGGTTGTTGTATCATTGAAGTATAACCTACATTAAGTTGGTTCCCTCCGTAAGATATTTAGTATTCCTTCGGAATATACAGCTATTATGAGACTTGGCAAATAACGGCCGGATACCAGTCTCAACCTACAATTATTTTTGTTCACAAAGTACGACACACGGGATCTTAAAGAAACTTACCGAAATGACATTTTGTTGTTGTTTTTTTAAATACTATAGAAAATAGAAATGTTTTGTAGATAATTCTGACTTGCAAATAAGTATTTGTAAAATAAAAAGTTTTTTTTTTATTGCTTCATGTATTAGTATAATAACGAAATACACCTACATCCATTTGTGCAATATCACAAAGACATTTAAGAATTTAAAAAGCGGTATTATTGAATTTATATAATTGTTAAAAGATTTCAAAATTACGATATACTTAACATGCGTAATGCTCGTACCTGATACTGCAACATGGGCTAACCTCATAGCATCCTTTAAAAGATCCTATAACAATACAAAACAATATTCTATGTTATGACAATAAGTAGTGTTTAAATTAATCAACGACAAATATATGATGCAAAAGAGAGGTGGCAGATACAAAAAGGATGTTCAAACTCATTAATCGAAGACAAACTGACAAAACAAAAAACGACCAAAAGATAAACAAAAGTCTACAAACCACAACATAGTAAAGATTAGGTTTCATTGTACAATATTATTTTAAGCAATATCGATATATTTACTTGATCAGGAATAGATGATGATGTTCTCAATAGTCCAGTGATCCAGTATGCAGAATTATCTTACCTCTTATACATTTCTAGGAATATCATTAGTTAAAAGCGACCACGTGAAGACCTGTATATTTCATATGGGGTTAGTAGGCGTCGTTTATTTTAATACACGGTTAGTAATGGTGTTACGTCCCTATATAAAAAAAAACACGGCGTTGAGGAAAAATCTGAAACGTTTCACCCGCGGACAACAGATGAAGAAATTTGTGATGAACGATTGAAATAAATGCAGAAAACACAAGTTGTTATTGTTGGCATTTGTTTTTGTATAGACCAATGGAAGTATGTTCTTTATATTGAAGACTTGATCACTTTAATAGTCTAAATGCCACATGTTAAGATAGTCGGTAAAATAAATTCGTTTCGATCTCACTCCATATGGAATTTACTGACCCCATATATATCGTATTAGGTCACTAGCAGACTGTGTAACTAATACTATACACTAAAATCAACTTTTACAATTTCAAAAAAAAAAACGTTACATGTAACCCGCTGCATCTTTATGCACCTGTCCTAAGTCAGGAGCCTGTTGTTCAGTGGTTGTCGTTTGTTTGTGTGGTTCATGAGTGTTTCTCGTTTTTTATATAGATTAGACCGTTGGTTTTCCTGTTTGAATTGTTTTACACAAGTCTTTTTGGGGTCCTTTATAGCTTGTTGTTCGGTGTGAGCCAAGGCTCCATGTTAAAAGCCGTACTTTGACCTATAATTGTTTACTTTTTACACATTGTGACTTGGATGGATAGTTGTCTCATTGGCTCTCATACTATATCTTCTTATTTATATATAAAAACAAAAGAAAAATAATCTGATTTTGTTAAGTAAATAGCAGCTTGATAATTTTGTGAATTAGTAGTTGTACCTCTAGCCCACGAACTGTACCACTGGGGTTTTTCTCTTTTGGTGGTTGATTACCCATTTCCTCTATTTTTTTTCTCCAATCTTTATTTCTTGAATCAAGTTTAAAATGTGAATAACATGATCTTGTTATTATGATAGACCTAGAAAATATCGTAAAAATAAAAATTATTCATGAATTATATATATATATTCATTGGATATTGTTTAGCAAGTACAAAATTTTGTCATTTGGCAGGCAAGGTTTACTTCTGTTTTTGAATTACAGAATCCTACCTGCCACTGTGCACTGATAACAGGAAGCAAATACTTCAATGGATTTTCAAACATTCTTTTAGTATTTAGTTCAGAAATCTATTTTGCGGAACCATACTCGTTTGTTTTCTGCTCTTTGGTTGGGTTGTTGTCTCTTTGACACATTCCGCATTTCCATTCTAAATGTCATCGTTTGTTATATCAATATACTATTATTGAGTTTCGATTTTGACTCACCCCTGGCTTTCAATTTTCGGGTTTGAGCATTCCTAATGAAGGTAAATCCAGAAAGCACAGTTTGGACTACCTGAATGTATAATTTTTTTTTTCAATTTTACAAAATAAATTAAAAAATACGAATAATACAAACAAATGTCTACAATAGACTAAGAATGGATTACTGCTTTCACTTAATTTTTGTTGGATGTTTCGTACGTAACTCGAAAGAAATAAAACTGAAAGCTGGATTGTTTCAGCATTTTCGTTTGTTTAGATGTAAATGCAGTTAAGTACTAGAAAATGGAATTTTTCTACTAGAAATTACCAACTCACCATGGCATAACTTTATATCTATATATACGTATCATTGCATAAATTAAAACGAAGAAACTTAAACTTACCTTGAACGAAATCATTACATGTTATAAGACCTGTGTTTATAAACAATATGTATAAATATATCGTAAACATATGAATGAACAGGTAGCATTAATAAAAACAAATTTAACAGGGGTTTAAATTTTCAAATTTAGAAAAATGATTTATCCCACATGTGTGAGATCGATATTTGACAATTTTCCAAATCTTCAAATTTTAAAGGTATTTAAATATTTGTCTATAATAATATACAGTTTGAATAATGAGAAACATGATAAATCTTGAAGAATGAAGTTGTTTATTTGTTATTTTTATGTATGTCGAGACGGTATTTTTTTGCTATCAAATTATCTTTAAAGAACATAAATTATTGCAAGTTGCATAAAAGATACGGACCAAAATCCGTTACATACACAATGATAAAAGAATTTTAAACGAAGAATCTAAAAATCAAAGAATTAATGTACGTGAATTGTAGAAAACCAGCCAGTCGTTCAAATGCATGTGTATAAGACCATATCATGGATAACGACCCGTTACAAATAACATACTAACACTCGACGTTTAAAGTACAAATAAATCTCTATCATTTACTCTCTATGTATCATATTATTTTTTTATTTTTTGTTGTTGTCTGTCTGTCTGTCTGTCTGAAGGAAGGAAGGAAGGAAGGAAAAATAATTATATATTATGAACGTCTAAATTTGTGACAACGTTTCATCTGAATAACCTAGCAATGTACAAGGCTCACACCACAAATGACATATAACCACGTTTGAAATTTAGCCACAAATGTAACGTCTGTGTAAGAAATGTCTGCCAAGACGTAGTTAAAAGTTTATGTACACCCAGTGATAACTTATGCATGATAACTGGTATCAACTGATGTCATGCAAACTTTTTTCTTATCAGTAAGTGCAAAAGAGTTTTAGTTTAACGGTCAGTTTGTCATGGTCATTGCGGGGAAAGTCAAATCGTCAACATAAATGGAAAATTCATTATAGGAGCATATATTAAACCTACAATTCAGTTATTCCCCAGACTTATATAAAGACCGATGCAAAGTAGTAGATATAAACAATGTGACCAAGAATTTCCTTAAATGGCAATAATTTCATGAATACAAAAATAAATGAATATTGAATTGGTTATCAATCATCAAATGTTAGCATTTATCGCTGTCTCTAACATTTGATTAATTGTACAACAGTTCAACTTAACTGTATTCGGTTGTCTCCATTTTGTTTGGTCCTATGCATTTTGTCATATGATTTTCCTTGGGTCGGTCTTTTTTTTATTCTTATTTTGAAAGTGTTAAGGGTATGCATTATTCACAGGTATAGCTATGACATTTCGCTTCTGCTGAGGATGCAATGCTAGTTTCATTTGAATACTAGCATTTTAAAATAAAAGATAGTGATTAAATAAATCCAGAAATATGTTCATAGTATAAATCTGCTAGTTTTTGTAACTGTAGCAATATAAGATCTGTCATTGTTTAAAGAAACTATTGAACAATTCCCTAAGTATGGTGTGTAGAGGTATATTTTTAGAATGTCGTTATGGACCAGTGCAGGCAATATTATAGTTCATGGCTTAATATTTTAATGTAGAATCCTTCTAAGTGAATAATACAAATTTGTAAACATTTCAATATTGCTAAGTTGGACTTTCCTATATTGTGATTGTCGTACATGATGTTGAGGAATATGCACCATCTCGGTTCAAATGAATTCACAAATGTTGACTTTTTACCAAACCAATTTAAATTTTAACAATGTAAGGAACAAATCAAATTCTTATTTAACACATTTTATATTTGTTGATTCATATTTATGCCTTATAATAATTAAATGCATATAGAGCAAGATCTGCTAATCCTTCTGGAGCCTCTTGAGATCCCATGGTTTTTGTTGGGTTCGTGTTGCTCAGCATTTATTTTGCTATGTTGTGTTTTGTATACTGTTTGTCTTTTTGTCGTTTTTCGCTTTTGCCATGGCGTTGTCAGTTTGTCTTCGAGTTTGAATATTCCTTTGATATCCTCCACCTCTCTTACCCCTCAACAACTTAATATGAAAATAAGGAGATGTGGAATTATTGTCAACTATCCACCAGAAACCAAAGAACGAGGATATTAATACACCAACAACGAGCAAAACCAATACTGTAATGGTTATCGTGACGGTACCCAAATTGCACCTATTTTGTCAGTTTTTTCACCTATGTTTATTTATGATCCAAACAAAAGTTTCCACGCTGTGTTTTTATTTTGTAGCTGTATCCTTGTTTACTATATAGTTCCACCAATTTAGTTTTGAATCCATATTGAATCATATAAAAATGGTTTGAACCTACCTCCAAACAATCCATGATTCTGTAATGAGGAGTACCCAAATTGCATCTATGCTTAAGTTCACATCCTTAAAAATCGAATAACTGATGTTTTGTTTTATTTCTCCAAATATTATAGCAATTAAACATAAGTCCATGCTCACTATTTATTTTTTTAAGAAATGAATGACTGTAACATATTTAAATTGCTATTTTTTTTTAAAAGTTGACTTTTTGTGGACGTCGCATGGCGACGTTTCCGTAGATTTTACTTTTTCCATTGAATACTTCATCTGTTGATATATACTGTGAACTTATTGTGTATATTTAATTTCCGCAGCTACTTTTGCTAAATGGGTGCAATTTGGGTACTCGGTGCAATCTGAGTACTGTGATGTTAGATACAAAAGGCCACTGTATGAGAAAATGAAAAACAATTCAAAATAGAAAACCAACGACCTGATTTATGCGCAAAAGCAAGCAACCTAGATATATATCAAATAGGAGAGAATACACCAGAAGTAAGTGGATACATTCTATTCATCCACACAGTACGCGTTACAAACCCTGCAATGAAATAATTTAAAAAAAAACATCATTCATTATTTCAGTGCTGCTATGAAACAGAGGTCAAGCATGAATTTTATGTATCTCGGTATAATCTCTTTAATTTCCGGTAAAGCCGAATAGTAGCTTCTGTTGCCTTATTTGAGTTTTTTATTTTACCTCAATCGTCTGTAAAAACAATCGAAACCGTAAGTTTGGAAAGCCAATCTCATATAACATTAGAGAAAAGTAAAAACAAAAATTACATCTAGTAAACCACCAAAACTGCGCACTTAGTTTCGGGTCGAGCTACTATTTTACACATAGCATGTTTGTCATACCATACATGGAGCTGTGCACCTTAATAATTTAAACAAAATCAAATACGTATTGCTTTACATCTTTGAAAACGTATGGTCCAACATCCTGTTGATGATATTTACTTTTATTTGGCATGGCAAAAGGTCAAGCTTTTCTCAGTTCGTTTATGAAGCATTTACACTAAATCCGTTGTATGTGAACTGGTTGATACTGATACGTTAGTCTGGGAGAACATGATTTATTTATAAGTTGGAACTGGCTTTAAACGAGCTTTCAGTAATTGCGAGATCTCTTAGATCGGTACTCTGCGTCTTTTGATTTTACCTTTTTGATATCAGGCTTTCATTTGTGGCTAAGGGCAAAGCTTTTAGATTTAGTAAGAGGTTAACATGTATTCTCAAGTCAAAATATTATAAACATTTAATGCACAATTCAATAATGTTATACATGTAATGATAACAAGCAACAAAAAACAAAAAAAAAGACATTCGAATACATTGCACATTTTGTTTGCTTCTGTCTTTTGTCTAAACGTTTTAGATAATATACATTTTAATATGGCCTATAAGGAACGGACGGGGATATAGGAGAACCAGCCGAGCTCAATTAGGGCCTATGAAATGTTGAAAACTTACACTAAACATTAAAAAAAACTTCAATTTTTTGCATTATATCTTTTCAACTGTTGTATGTAATAAGTATTTTTAATACTATTTCTCTCAAACAAGGAATGAGTATGCAAGCAAACTGACTATACATGTCCCATATTATATACAATCGTAAGATAGCACAATATGATTCAATATGGGGTTGCACTGCAATATGTTTTTGCTTAGGCTATATGTGTTATAGTAAAATAACATAACAAAAATAAGAATAAAACGATTATCACATTATGATTTCAAAGCGCAGTTTGAAAAATAAATTAGCAAATATTATGACACTGGTACACAGATAAATTTGCTGACATGAATTTCATGTATTACTAATAGGAATGTTATTACCGTGGATATTCATATGTAAATATTCTCAAATGTATAAAATTCAATTAAAGCATACGTAAATTCACGACTAGTAATTCATTAAGCTTAAGAAATTTGATATAAGATGTGTATATCAATTTAAAAATTGTATGACATTTTTCAAGTGTTCACAAGTCATGATATTCACGTTAAATCACATTAAAACAAAATCATCTGTGTCATAGATAATCTCCTGAGTTACACATGTTATACTCATTAGTCCGACAGTGCTATGAATCATCTGAAAATCCAAGTCTGCCCATTTTTATTGCAATGTCAAATGATTTATAAAAGTCTAATCTCGATTTGTTACCCAGAGGAATGAGAAGTCTCTGAATACAAGTTATAGCTTCAGGTAATGTCGCTTTTTTATTCTTTCGATTAAACGCCACCTGGATGGAAAAGTTGTATGGCGGTACATCGTCAAGTCCGGTAATAAACTGAAACAGATAAGCAGCCTCCTCGTCTGAAAATGAAGCAAATACTTTAAAGTTCATACAAGGATTTTAAAAGCTCCATAATTTTCTTTAAAGTATTTTAATGTTTTTCGGTGTTACATTTTGTTATGGTACATCTGGTGCTCAAGCATTTAAATGATGTTTCATTTGAAATTTAAATTTGATGTATCTGCTCATGATAAAAGCAATGACATTAAACAAACAAATATTAGTACGTTTTTATAGAATATTAAAACATTATAATATGCAATTCAATCATGAATATTTCATTTTAAAATTCGCTTAGGGCAAATTACACAAGCATTTCTACGCACCTTCTAATATTTGAAGACATTTAACTGTTTGTTTCTGTGCCTTTTCTTCTTCTTGGTTTTCGGTACGTAATTTTTGTACTTCTGGAATAAGTTTCTTCTGTATGAAATTCGCCGTTGTTTCTTGCTTATTTCTCAAAAGAAATATGCGTTCAAATTCGGGGAGAGACTTTGTATCATCAAGAAAGTTGAAAGTATTTAATCCTTTTTTCATATCATCAAGAGCAGTTCTTCGTTTATCAACCAAATCCCATTGTAGTAAGGTTTGCACAAATGACCATCTGTTAGACATCTAAAAGATAATATAAATATGCAATCAGACTATTTCACATCACATCGGGTATCCCGATCCAAAATCCGTGGAGGGACCCGGATCATGAAGAGCAATTGCACAAGACCGAAACGCGGAAGGTAATTGAAATCTGATTCCGATTCACAAGGAGCATAATCCTACATGGGAATCGGATCCAGATTTTATTTACGAATTGCACTAAACAAATTAAAATTGCTCCTCGGGATTTGGACCCCTCCGCGGATTTGGATTGGGATATCCGGTGTACATATGAGGTTAAATATGCTGGAAACAAAATTACTTAACATATATATAATACATAATTGAAAAAAGACAATGATTGCAAAAAGTGTGATTGTTTATTCAATATTTTGAAGAAAAAATCTGTATCGTTTTGGAAACATGAAACATTCAATAGGTTCAAAATGTAAAATACCCAAATAATTCAAGGGGGTAAATTATCAAGACAATGAAATTATTCATGCTCACTGTAACCCTTTCATTCCCTGGCCATCCGCAATTATCTGTAAATCTTTCGTCGTCATTGCCCATAATATCATCTAAGTCATTCTGAGTGGTTGCATTTGTAATCTGAAAATATAGGTCAAATTTAATTGATATTTAAATGAGTAGCCGAAACATGTAAGTTACGATTTAAATATCACAATGGTAGTCATTTCAGTTTCGGTGCACTTTGATGCATCATTTCAAACTGCATGTTCAATAAATTATTGATTCCAATAAAAACTTAGTTTTAAATCGAGGACAATATTGTTATAAAATTATTCATGTTAAATGAAAATTATGGTAAATTACGAAGTTTGGTAATAACACAATGTCTTACTTATGGAGCTAACGATGACACGTTTGAAAAAATCTTACTCACAAATATTTCACCACATTTTGACAGATCACATTGATAACAATCTAAATACCATTCATATTTGTATAAATAGTCATTTCCTATTGTTCTTAAGTTGTCGGCTAGTTAGATAATCAAAACCACTTACAATGGCATTAAGTGTCGTGCAATCTAGTAACATTTGCTTATTGAGAAGTAACTAGAATAAGATATCAAACTTAGACAAAGGGTACACATTTCAAAGCTTACATCTGTGATAAACTGTTTAAGAAATTCGTTGACAAGGAACAATGAGCTCAGTTCATGTATATACTCTCTTCCAATGAGGTAACTCACAATAAATGATGGAAAATACGGAAATCCAGGTCCATGAGGATCTGTACTAAGCGATAATACAACGGCCTTGCCAAACGCACGAAAGACGTGAGCATCGATTGCCTTTTTATTGTTCACAGGTAACACAAATCCACCTTTTCCTTCAAAAAGTCCCAAGTTCGATTGCAAAAATTCTTGAAATAATAGTGTAAATAATTCTCTGCTAGGTCCTCCCAGGTCTACCGCCTTTTCCGATACACCATCACATTCAAATGTGATATCAAGAGGAGAAAACTCACTGTTTGGTGTTTTCAAGTATGGAAACATAACACTTTTGACGTCATCTCTGTTGACAGAAATCACTTTCTTCCTTCCATGCTGTTGTTGGCGAATGTTTTCTATGGTTGCTTTAAAATCATCGGTTGTTTCTGGTACCGAAGCTGTAAAAAAAAAATATACATTCCTGTCATATTTTTTTAAATGTGTTATAGAGTCCTACCATGTAAGTGAAAGAATGTAAAAAACAACTTCAACAATGTAATATGAAATTTTTGGTGAAGTAATAACCTTCAATCAGTTATATCAAACCGATAAGTAAAGCGACATCACAAATTTAGTTGTATGCTGAATGATATTTTTACTTATATAGATACATATCAATGTAAAAATGATTGAAAAAAACTATATAATTTAGACTTCTTTACATCACATGATTTCATTAACATTTCGATTTTTACCTGTTGAATGCTTGAAAATTTACCATGTTACTTGTTTTACATATAAACCTGAAATTTTCCTTGTTTTGACGGTTTCTAAATCCTCCGTGTGAATTCTAATAATCAATTTGGTAATATATCATTCTTTCACTTTTCCTTATTCAAGAACAAGATAATGCATGCATGCATGCACGAATGGAAGCTGTTTTTTTTTTATTCTAAAATAAATATCTAATGTTTGCACAATTATCAAATTGGCTAAGATGTCACAATTGTCCATATTTCATTTTTTATTAGCAATTAGAACATCAAATTACTTTCAATCGTTAAATCAACCCAAAAGATTTAGACCAGTTAATCTAAACGTGTATAACAATATTTTACAAAACAAACCTGTTCTCCGTCTAGAGGTACCAGGAACTGCATCAATGCGAGGACTCTGTATAGACGAAGTCTGTCCCATTTCTGTTGTTTTCTACTACATGCACATGTATGAATAAAAGTAATCTCTTAAATTTTCACATGCCTGAAATGTTATGATATTTTTGAATTACATATATATCAAACAATCGGTGGGGGATAATATCTTAATCTCTTAAAATTGCACAATACATATCGTCTCAGGTGATATAAATCATCTGGAAAGCCAATTTGATAACACTGTATATTTTGAAATTTAAAATATGATTAAGTGTATTAAAGTAAAATGCATGTAATAAAAGAGCGCATTACTTTTTACATACACATACATGTGAATCCGATTACAGTAGTTGTCGTCTGTTTATATAGTACATACGTGTTTCTCGTTTTTTGTTTTTATATAGATTAGACCGTTGGTTTTTCCGTTTGGATGGTTTTACACTAGTAATTTATTGGAGCCCTTTATAGCTTGCTGTTCGGTGTGAGCCAATGGTCCGTGTTGAAGGCCGTACCTTGACCTGTAATGGTTTACTTTTATAAATTGTAACTTGGATGGAGAGTTGTCTCATTGGCACTCATACCACATCTTCCTATATCTATGTACACACACAAAAAAACCACCCCACCAATATTTGCTATAATTTCAACGGGCACAGCACTTGTTCCCTGAATGACATTCGTCAGGTACGCACGATACCAAACGTTTTGATATAAAAAAAAATGTTTGAGAGAATGAATAAAATAAAGAGTCTGTAGAGTTAGACATCTATGAACAAATTTGCCGACAGAAATGGCTACGTTAGTTTTTAGCACAAGCACACTGGTTTATAATATATTTTATCGTTTAAATCAAACAATAACAAACACCTGCAACATAAATATTCAAATCAAATAAGGTATCGTATATAAATAAATATGAAGCATGCATTAAATCAAATAAAACTTGTGTATCGTCGTCGTGGTATATTTTTGTATCGAGTATATTCGACTGACTCCTGTGCATTTCTTTAATTGTAACATGGTATTGAATACATATTAGGGTGAGCCGGTATTGTCCACATTTTGTTGCATGTTAGCCCTTTGTACGAAGTCTTTTTGCCATAGGTAAAAGTTCATACATCGTTTGGCTACTAACTTACTTTAATGTAGTTGTTATCTGGAATAATTATCTGTTGTCCCAAGTAAGGAACTTCGTCACCTGCCTTCGAAGTCTCTTCTTCACGTTTTTTTTTGTATAGAAAACTGTGAGATGTCAGATAGTGGTTACCCCTCTAGTCCATTTTCAGAACAACTTATTATACAGTGCAGGGACTTTTGAAGCTTGAATGATATTACGTTTTGTTTTAATCAACTACCTGCGGTACAAATACAATTCAAATACACAGTGAGGGTAATTTCAAATAAACATTCAACATTGTGAAAGATATTGGTTTATTTATATTTATACTCACCTGGTTTAGCTTTAAAAAGTATTCCGTTACCTTTGAACCTGTAGATCTTTCATCATATAATATTGTGGAATAAATATAATTTTTGTTTCTAGATATATCACAACTTTTCCACCGAATAAGTTAACTTCCTCAATTGACGTATGTTTTTATCTATAATCTCCGAGTAATTAGAGTCCTGTTTTGAATTAGTTCGAGTGAAGAACAATCCTTTGCCATATATTATATGACATATTATGTCTTTGTTTACAGTTACTTTAAACCTATATACCTTTAACATTTTCAATACACTGTTGTGTATATGATTTGTTTATTATTTAAATTCGAATACGTTTAGACATGGTACAATTTGGGGTCAAATTTGCCCGAATGTCAATGTATTTTAATATTAATTGTATTTGCAGAATCATCGTTGAATTTAAACACTTATAAAAAGTTTCTAATGTTTTTGTTACAAGTATTTTCGTTTCCATGGGTTACACATTTTTTAAGATAACAACATATTAAGTGAAATTAAAAATATGATAATAAAATATTGACAGTTCGAGAGAAAAATCTGATACAGATAGAAACAATGTTTACCATGGAAGGATGTATTTTGTGATTTCATATTCTCTGAAAATAAAAATTTTGTTCACGCTTGAAAAAAGGCTATAGTTTATAAAGCCAAACCTTTCAATGGCTTGTCGGATCTGCAAACAAAGGGCGCATGCATGTAAAAAAAAAATTTGCTTACTTCTTGCATGCTCTCTATATTTCTGTACATTGTATGTATGCAGGTTGTTTTTTTTTTTTTGTGTCGTATATACAATATACTATCGTTCTTTCTTAAAATGAAGAGACTATCCATTATATAAAAAATGTCCTTCAGAATAAATAAATGTATAATGGTATACGAATCATAATTAGCGGCAAAAAACCCCTAAACGTGCCTTGCCATTTAAATTTCACATGCCTTGAAAATATTATTAAAATAGTTAATGAAGCTGAACAAGGCATATGGTTGCGAAATAATTTTTTTGTCAAACATTCCATGATGTCATTCTCTCATCTAAAAATAACTCGTGCTAGTGTTTGAACATTTTAAACCGAAATTAGCTTACATCGTATTTCTTTACTTGTATAATTTACGATGACAGTTCTTTGTTAAAATGCATTTTAAGATGTACACGTGTTTACATTGCATTTTTTGTTCGTAACTTACCACGCAACAGAGGATTTAATAAGGCAATTTATTTTAAAGTGAATGGTTTAGTTAGACGTTTTTTACAATATTTTTAAATTAATGTTATTGAACAATGTTGAAATGTATATTGCTCAAACTATTTAAAGTATGCAATGCATACCTCCTGAGAGTGATTTTCATTTCTTATATTTGTAGCATTTGTTTTTTATCCCTTCGTCTGCCTATATAATAAATATTAGTCATAACAAGTGCAAACGCATTTTTTTTTAATTATTTGATTCGTCTAATATCTTTAATTGTTCAGTTGTTTGGCAATGGGTATTATGCTGCCATCTTATTCCGGTAATTTACTAATGTTCTTTGACTTTTAATTTTTATTAGCTCACCTGGCCCAAAGGGCTAAGTGAGCTTTTCTCATCACTTGGCGTCCGTCGTCCGTCGTCGTCCGTCGTCCGTCGTCGTCCGTTAACTTTTACAAAAATCTTCTCCTCTGAAACTACTAGGCCAAATTTAACCAAACTTGGCCACAATCATCATTAGGGTATCTAGTTTAAAAAATGTGTCCGATGACCCCGCCTGCCAACCAACATGGCCGACATGGCTAAAAATAGAACATAGGGGTAAAATGCAGTTTTTGGCTTATATCTCTGAAACTAAAGCATTTAGAGCAAATCTGACATGGGGTTAAAATGTCATCAGGTTAAGATCTATCTGCCCTGAAATGTTCAGATGAATCAGACAACCCGTTGTTGGATTGCTGCCCCTGAGTTGGTAATTTTAAGGCAATTTTGCAGTTTTTGGTTATTATCTTGAATATTATTATAAATAGAGATAAACTGTAAACAGCAATAATGTTCAGCAAAGTAAGATCTACAAATAAATCAGATGACCAAAATTGTCAGTCGACCCCTTTAGGAGTTATTGCCCTTAATAGTCAATTTTTAACATTTTTCGAAATTTTTGTAATCTTTTACAAAAATCTTCTTCTCTGAAACTACTGAGACAAATTTAACCATACTTGGCCATAATCATTATTAGGGTATCTAGTTTAAAAAATTTGTCCGATGACCCTGCCTTCCAACCATCATGGCCGACTTGGTTAAAAATAGAACATAGGAGTAAAATGCAGTTTTTGGTTTATATCTCTGAAACTAAAGCATTTAGAGCAAATCTAACAGGTGGCAACAATGTTCATCAGATTTAGATTTATCTGCCCTGAAATTTTCAGACGAATCCGACAACTCGTTGTTGGGTTGCTGCCCCTGAGATAGTATTTTTTTACAAAAATTTTGCAGTTTTTTGTTATTATCTTAGATATTATTATAATATCTAATATCTAATACTATTAATTATGATTTTAACCTTATTTTACATGATTTCCAAAGCATCAGTAAATACAGGTGAGCGACACAGGCTCTTGAGAGCCTCTAGTTTGATTTCATACGAAACGATAAAAGTATCAGTAAATACAGGTGAGCGACACAGGCTCTTGAGAGCCTCTAGTTTGATTTCATACGAAACGATAAAAGTAAATATATATACTGAGAACCTCTTTATAAGATACATAATACAAATAAAATTGAGAATAGAAATGGGTAATGTGTCAAAGAGACAACAACCCGACCAAAGAGCCCAAAACAGCCGAAGGCCACCAATGACTCAGCGAGAAAATCCCGCACTCAGAGGCGGGCTTCCGCTGGCCCCTAAACAGTAATGTATACTAGATCAGCAAAATTAAATTCTAGACTTAACTCCGAAACATACAAATGAACCAAAATTTTAAAAATACACACAAGACTAACAAAGGCTAGATGTTCCTAACTTGGGACAGACGCAAAAATGCGACAGGGTTAAACATGTTTTGTGAGATCTTTCAATAAACTGACCACTTGCGTTAAAACACACATTACAAAGAACCGGGTACCCTATGATAACTGAAGTGTGTCAAAAATATTCCTCCCACGTGCAAGAACGGACTGGACGAAGAACACCCTCTATTTACACATATCTCTGCAAAAACAACAGTTCCTACGATTTTTAAATCGCAAACAATCCGAATTACGCTTGTACTACACATATGACACATCCCTTCTATAACCCTATTCTAATCTTATCTTGTACGTGCTCTGCTTTAATGTTTATGTTTCTAGAACTAATCGACTGACCAAAATCAGGACATCCTATGATTTTGAAGTCTTCTTATATAGAATGTGTCCCGCGCCTTTGTAATCAATATGAAACAGCACCTTCTCATGCCTAAGTTCATACTTTCAGAAGATGACAGATACCATTTCTGGATATATTTCTCCAAAATGTAATGTTTGATATTAGACAACATTTAAGCAATATTTTGGGTCATAACCCATGAGCCTATCTACCCTTGAAATATATGCCATAACCTTATGAAAAGCCTAAGGCACTGTCAAGTGCTTCATTAGAAGTCCAAAATCAATCTGGCATTAAAGAAGGGCTATTAAAATTTTCTAAGATAAGCTTTAATGTTTGAATTAATTCTAATTCTGTAGTGTGGTTTATTCAAACCATATGGTGTGTCAATCAATCATCTGCAAAAGGCTCTGCCTGACGCGACAACCCGACATGCAAAGTTTAATGAACCCAAAACGAATGGCATTTTACGGAAGCCGATAAGGGTCATTCAAAAAAAAATTATGTCGTAATAACGACATAAATATGTCGTAATTTCGACATAGCATTTCGTAATAACGACATCACTATGTCGAAATTACGACATCGCTATGTCGTTATAACGACATTCTTATGTCGTTATAACGACATTGCTATATATATATATATAATAGTATGTATTATGATTGCCAAGAGACTATATGACACAGAAATTAACAACTAGAGGTCACCACAATGCCTTCAAAATGAGAAAAGCCCCACATAGTCAGCTATAAAAGGCCCCGAAATGACAAATGTTAAACAATTTAATTCAAACGAGAAAACTAACGGCTTTATTAATGTACAACAAATGAAAAAAAACCAAATATGTTACACAGCAACAAACGACAACCACTGAATTACAGGCTCCTGATCGCTATGTCATAATTACGACAACCGTGGCGTTGTCACTTTTTGAGGCGATAGAAAATTCAAAATGGTCGTCAGTGAGGGCAAGGTTTGAAGCGTAAACATATTCATCTTTTTTTGGAGAATAATGATCACTAAATGCAATCAAGCTTAATTAAAGTTATTTACTTGCACATACTAGAACTTTATTTTATAATCAAGTCAAATGAGACCCAGTTGCACAGGGGAGCGATTCGGGCTTCTTGGAGCCTCTAGTTATGTTTGGCATGTACAGATTCGTGTAAAATATGACTGCATTTCCATTGCAGATTCTGAAGAAGATGAATTTTAAGCTTTTCCAAATAAAGACTGTTAAACTTTGGACTCCTAGTCCTCAGACCCATGGACCTCTGTACCTTCATTTGTACACAATGGCCTACTGATGCTTGATGCAAATTATAACTGCATTGCTACTGTTGGTTCTTTATGAGATTCTTACAGCGTCCTCCCCATTGAAGCCTGTATTAAACGTTGGACCCCAAGTTCTTTAAACCAATGTTCCCCAGGACAACTATTCCTACAAACTTAGGGGAGGGTTAGATTCCCGCTAACATGTTTAACCCCGCCACATTCTGTATGTATGTGCCTGTCCCAAGTCAGGAGCCTGTAATTCAGTAGTTGTTGCTTGTTGATGTGTTACATATTTGTTTTTCGTTCATTTCTTGTACATAAATTAGGCCGTTAGTTTTCTCGTTTGAACTGTTTTACATTTCTTATTTCGGAGCCTTTTATAGCTGACTATGTGGCATGGGCTTTGCTCATTGTTGAAAGCTGTACGGTGACCTATAGTTGTTAATTTCTGTGGCATTTGGTTTCTTGTGGAAATCATACCACATCTTCTTTTTTTATATTTAATCCTCATCATATAAGGGTCATCCATTCTCTAAGATTGATCCAATATGGCATGTAGTTCTTAATGAAAAGATTTTCAAAGCTTTTTCCATTGGAGCCTATGTTAAACTTTAGACCCCTAATAATCGAGCCTAATGGGTCCCCTGATCTTCACCTATCACCTAAGGAACTTGTGTCTCGTACTCGAAGTGGTATGCGAGCGATTGCTATCGTTTGTTGTCCGTCGTCGTCTGTCGTAAGCGTGTTTGATTTTTCCTTGTTAAATGTTTCCTTCACAAAAGGCGTGCTTTGATTGTCGACTCCTTAAAACACAGCAGCTGTTATTAACTTGAAAATATAGGACATAATGGTCACACATTAGTTTTTTTGATAATGTCTCGAATATCGTTACATTTATCTCAAATCTGTTGAGGGTTCATCATGGCAAAATGGACCTATGCCAAAAATTTCAGAAAGATCAGTTTGACCCATATCTAAGTTGTGTCCTCTAAAACATTTTTTGGGGATAGCTACATGTATTGTCATCACTTGAAGTCCGTCGAAATTGACCGGCAACCAACAGCATGGACACTGTTACTAAATAAAGGCAACAGTAATATACCGGTTTTCAAAGGTCATAAATCGATTGAGAGAAAACAAATCCGGGTTACAAACTAAAAACCGAGGGAAACATATCAACTTTAAGAGGAAAATAAACGAACAACAGGAACACTAAAGTGAACAAAAATAAACCCTTAACATACATAGAAAGAACTTTTTAATAACAACTGTCATATTCCTGAATTGGTACAGGCCATTTTAAGAACAAATGGTGGGTTGAACTTGGTTTAATGGCTAGCCAAACCTCCCGCTTTATGACAATGTTAAAAATGGCGCTGAAATGATAACACTACGTGACAGAAATACAGACCAAACACACGCAAGATCATATATCACAGAGAAACGCACAAACATATAATATACTACAGTATAGTAATAGTCGCAAAACATGTTAACTGCAGAACAACAGCGAACATATTTCATCAACGACAAACACCACAGGATATAAAAAAAACAGTTAAGCGCTTACGTAACTCACATGCAATCTCGAACTGTATGCAATTATATCCACAATACTATACAAAAAGACCACATAGCGAAATAGCAGATTTTTACCTCGCCTGCGATGAACGTCATAAGTAGCGAAACTTTAGGAATTGATTTTGCGGCGACGGCGGCTAAACTTTTATCAACATTTTGTGATTTTTGTAATCTTTAATAAAAATTTAACGTTAAAAAACAGACGACGCCGGACGACAAGAGATTGCAATAGCACACATAATCCTTCTGGTACTTAACACTTCTTGATAAGATCTACATAAATGCCAAATATAAATATAGAGGCTCCAACAAGCCTGAATCATTCACCATTTCAATGGGTCCCATTAGACACGATTATGAAATAAAGTTCTATTATGTGCAGACATATAGCGTAACTAACTTCAATATTAATAAAGCTTGATTGAATTCAGTGTTTATCATTCTCAAAAATGAATATGTTTACGATAGGGTTTTGATACAAACTGTGCCCTCACTGGCGGCCATTTTTAACTTCGGATCAGCTCAAAACGTAAAAACTCTTTTTAAGGACCTGGATACTATTTACACATTGTATATTTATACTAAGTTTAAACTCAGTCATTTCAGTGATCTTGAGAAGCAGATTTTGAACATTGATTTTTTCAAAGTCCCTTGGCGGTCATGTGTTTTAACCAATGTGTAACTTAGTAATAACACTTGAATAGGACCTTATAGTGCACACGTATATCAAGTTTGATTCAATTCTGATAAGTAGTTCTTTAAATAAAGATGAAAATGTTGTTTCCCATAGTGTTTCGATGCTCACAAAGTAGCAATGTTAAGGTTGTTGTTATAGATGATATAGATAATATAGATGATATGTCGTAATTACGATATAGCGATGTCGTTATTTCCACATAATATGTCTTTATTACGACATAGCGATGTCGTTATTTCCACATAATATGTCGTTATTACGACATAGCGATGTCGTTATTACGACATACTATGTCGTAATTACGACATATTTTTTTTTTGAATGACCCTTATCGGCTTCCGTAGCATTTCCCTTAGCGTGACCTTCTTATTGTTTAAAACAAATGGAACTTTCTTAAGTTATTCATCGGATAGTCATGTCATAAGTGTCAATTTCTTTACCTCAGACCTCAGAATGTAATCCTTGTGATCATTGCAGATAATCTTTGAAAGTATGGAGCAGGTCAGCACAATGACTGGTCCCGTCCCTCCCCCTCCCCAAGAAAGAAGTCGCCAAGGTAATGTACAAGCGCCGCCTCAAATTATCTTACAGAAATGCAGAAAGAGTCCAATGAAGAAAGGAGGCAAACTGGTTGAATAAAGAATATCTAATAAAAACTTCAAAAGGGAGAGCTTTATGAAAATAAAAATTTTGATAAATTCTAAAACCACGAAGATCAAAACCATTTGACGAGAAAGGGAATATTCGTAAAGCTCATTGAACGTAGGACTTGCTAGCAAATGTTTTATTTCTGTAAAATTCAATAACATCAACAGCGTCATCAATATTCGAGTAATCGAGTAAACAGCTGGACATTTATATAGATCGATGAAATCATTTACGGATGTATTTTCGAGATAAGATAAATAATGAATAACTCTTAATTGACCGTCCCCCTTCCCCTTTTGATTCGTTAAGTGCGAATGGTATTCTCGTAAATAACAGTTTAACGGGAGTCTTATTTAACGAGCCAATGGTAAAAATCTAATTGATTTTGGCAGTGCGAATGATATCCTCGGAAATAACAGTTTAACAGGAGTAGTAATGAACGAGCCAATGGTTGTTAAACTAATGGATTATAGCAGTGCAAATGGTATCATCGGAAATAACAGTTTAACTGAAGAAGTATTGAAGTTTAGAATTCTACTTGCTTCTAGCAGTGCAAATGATATCCTCGGAAATAACAGTTATCAAAAGAGTATTGAACGAAACAATGGTAATAAATCTATGTAAAATACTTTCAACGAGGTTTTCTATTTTTGAAATTTTCATTATTCAACAGACAATTGTATAGAAAGAACAATATATATATATATATATATATATAATTATATGGAGTTGTGGTTAAACAGAACACCCAAAACTGTTGAAGGTCATTTTAAAATTGAGAATGGAAACGGGGAATGCGTCAGAGAGACAACAACCCGACCAAAAAGCAGAAAAAAGCCCAAGGCCACCAATAGGTCTTCATCACAGCGAGAAAATCCCGCACCCGGAGGCGGGCTTCAGCTTGCCCCTAAACAAAATGTATACTAGATCAGCGAAAATGGACGTCATACTAAGCTAGTTTAGGAAGATACATGCTAGGTTGGGAAAAAAGGAAAATTATCAGCTGTGAGTTAAGGACATATCAATATCATAGTTAATACTTATATTGATTCTCTTTTATCTACTGAACATAACCGGTCTGTTAATCTTATATAATTACATTACATGTATGTTTCATTATAATACGTTATTTTGATTGGCTAACAGCAATCCCGCGTCATTCTAAAATTAACCTTCATTTCAAAATGAAATTTAAAATTCATGATGACACTAGCTTCTACAATAAAGTGCACAGGTAAATAAAAGAAAAACTTGATAGAAATCGTGTTTTCATGTTCCCAGCAAAAAATGTAATTATAAGTATTGAATGCTTCTTTTAGTAACTTTATAGGGTTGTAAAAGCGTTGACCGTGCGCACATTTTTGGAATGAAGCGCTTCCACGCTTCATACAAAATGTACTTTGGTCAACGCTTTTACACCCCAATAGATTTACAAAAAGAAGCATTCAATTCTTAAATGAACCGACACAACCGGACAATGATTGTATTGTATTGTGAAGTCTTGAAATTAATTCAACATTTTGCCTTAATAAAACGCAATAAATCATTACTTTTTCAAAAACATACTCAAATTATGAAAGTGTAATTGAACATTAATATTACAAAGATCCTTTTTCCGTTCTGATACACATTTTTCACACCTTAAAGCATTTGTGAGCTTTAATGTCCATGATATCTATGAGTAGACCTCATAGTAATAGATAACAAATTTCACCAATTTTCAAGCTTTGATAAGCCTGCCGTGAAATTGGATATTAATGAAACATTTCATTGTTAACGATAAGAGGCAAATGATCTAACAGTTTAAATCGACAAAGAGTTGTCTTAAGACTGATTAGTATCTTAAGTTTTTGTCATTAACATTTTTTCTTCCAAAATTTCCCTTCATTTGGTTATCGAGCGTAACTTTTTGAAAACATCCCCGAATTACATGTGCGCTCTGGAATCAGTATTATACGTTAAATTAATTGCAACTATTCAACTGATATGGTTTTCGTCGTCCTTCAATTTCATGATCTTGATTTCCAAATAGTAATCTCTCATTTCTGTTGTGTTGAGTGGTATAACATTCTTTTGTCTAAGGAAATTCACAGTTGATTTCTCTTTTATTCGTGCATGCAACAACAATAAGTGAAAAACAAAATAAACACAAAAACAATTTGGTATGTCAGAAATCTGTATCATTGTTCCATTATTGCCTTGAAAAAAGATTCTTTGAAGTGGTTAATATCTTTATTTCCCAGTGGAAGAAGAAGTCTATTCAGACATGTATAGCTCTCTGGTAGAAGTCTATCAGGGTTTTGTGTATTAAAGATGATTTCCATAGATTCTTCCTCTAATGGTGGGTCATTGAGGTTAGTGACAAAGGCAAAAAGTAATCTGGCTTGTGTATCTGAAACAGAAATTGTGAACATATGTATTGAAGATTAAAACTATCAATTCAGCTACCTCTTTGTGTATTTTATTTTTAGTTGTTGTTTGCCTAACGTTCAATTGCAATTCAAACAGACGTCCCATAAACACGGCTGCTAAGAGAAATATAGATGACGATATTTCTACACCCCTGTAAAATATTTGGATTTTTTCTTTTGGAAAACTGTGTCCAAGTGATAGCGTTTTCAGCTTGAATATTTATTTTTTTTTTCAATTATTTGAATACTATCTGTTCAAAGTCACTACCAGGCTTACTATTTCGAACACAAGAGGCGCGATTCATCTACATAAGACTAGAAATACTCGAGTCAAACCAATCAGAAGGTTAAGGAAAAAACGAATATGAATAGTATTTAATACCAAATTCCAAAAGGGTGTGCCAAATTAGGCAAATGCAACCAATGCCTGAGGATAGAAATACAACGTATACAGGAATATTTTGCTATTTGGAAATAATTTTTAAAATATGAAACAAAATATTACTCTTTAGAGTTAACCCTGTACAAATTTCAATGGACACATTCATGTTTGAATAATTATAACATCTCACAATCTGCAGAGTTAAAAACCATACAAACTTATTATTCGTACCATCTAAGGAATCAATGCAAGCTTTAGCAAACTTTACACAGTTAATTTCCTTCTCAGTTTTGGCTTCCAGTTTTTCTAGGACTGGGTTTAGCTTGTCTTTCATGTATCTTGCTGTAATGCTGTACTGTTCTGAGTAAACAAATAAAGGTTCAAACCAGTCGTTTGATTTAATGGCATCAAGAAATCCCATATAGCTGAGACCGTGACGTAACTGGTCTATTTCATTTTGTCTGTGGTCTATGATAAACCATCGGAGTATATACTGCAGCAACACATGTCGGTTAGTCATCTAAAAAATATGTTCTGATTTGATGACACTGTGTAAGATTTGTTGATAGATGATTTGGAGTTTTAAATATGAATAACGGAAATAAATTTCGAATTTATGTCTATGAGACACCAATTCACTCTTAAAAGATACTTAAAGTTTCATTTGTAAAAACCGAGAAGAAAAACATTCACGCATTTTTTTAATTCTTCATGAAATTGGTGATTAAAGTATGTCCTACTACTGATGCAACAGCACCACAGCAACAACAATAAACAGTAAAAATGTCGAAAAGAGTTTGACTCATTAGATTGGAACTAAGCACAAAAACAACTTATACAATTAAAACAAAACACAAAGTGTTTATCTTTTAAAAGTCGCAATTTCTGAAAGCTCGTTCAATAGCTCAATTTCAACAGTTACTAGTAAATAGACTGTGTTTTCATAGACTAATATAAGAATCAGTAAACATTCAACGTTTTTAGTGTATAAAAAGGTCAAAAGCTGCCCGAGACAAGCATGATCGTGCGCAATTCCAAAATATAAGTTATACCAGTAAATCTATTTTTTCCGATATTTCTAATATTCTATCGTTTATTAGTGTATGCTATAGTTTATAAGCTTTTAAAGTGCTCTCTATAAAATACTCTCCCCTGTATTTGTATCTGAATTTTTTCATGTGTTACATATCCGTACGATATTTTAGGTATATCTTGTAAAACGATATATCAGCATTGGTCAATTGCAATAAAACTTATTTATTGTGATTTTGAAGAAGTCGAATGGTTGTTTTTCATCTTAGTTAAGGTTTTGGCGGAGTTCATGTTGCTCAGTCTTCAGTTTTCTGTATTGTGTTTTGTAGATTGTTGTTTTTCTCTTTGTCCCTTTTTCTTTTTACCATGGTATTGTCGGTTTTCTCACGACATGATTTTGGATTGTCCCTTTGGTATCTTCTGCCTCTTTTTTTAAATGTATTATGAAATAGCCCTTTTTATAGTGTTATCTGTTTAAAAGAGGGACGAAAGATACCAGAGGGACAGTCAAACTCATAGATCGAAAACAAGCTGACAACGCCATGGCCAAAAATAAAAAGACAAACAGACAAATAATAGTACAGATGACACAACATAGAAAACTAAAGACTAAGCAACACAAACCCCACCAAAAACTGGGGGTGATCTCAGGTACTCCGGAAGGGTAAGCAGAAAAGGGAGGGTATTGTAGTTACGACATAAGGAACATATCCGATATCAAAATTAATATATGTAATTACAGCCAATCAAATCTATTTATTGAAAATAACCAAATAGCATTTTTACCGTTACTGTTTGTCCAACTGGCCATCCAACATAGCTAATGAAGGAGGCTAAATCGCTAGCGAGAATTTCGGTTATTTCTCCGTCAGTGTTTGCATCGTTTATCTGTAAAAATAAATCTCACAAAACTAATTTAATGTTTTAAAAGGCCGTTACTTTATGTTTTTCTTGGAAATATATAAAAATTTCACGTACATATAAATGCATAACTAGACTAAAACCCTGTATGATTAATTTATTAAAAATACAAATTCTACTTTAATTAAAAAAATAATAGTTATTTGTAAAAGTATGATTTATACAATTATACTAATAAAACAAATGACATGACCCTAGCAGCGGGGAACATGTTAATACGGTATGTCAAAAACACGAATTAGATGCTTAAAGCTTAATTTCAAGTTAGACAGCACCGATTTAGTTGAAGATTTGATTATAGACTTATTTGATTTGTATGTATTTGAATAACAACAGTGAGAGTTATCTTGTCTCTACAGAGGAAATGAAAATAGTAATTGTTGAAACTGAAAGAAAAACTAAGGCTTTTTTTTCAGCCATACCAGAATTGTTCATGTTTATTGATTTTAGAAATCTTTTAATTCTCGTAACGTTTTGAAATAGAAATCACTTAAATCCGACACATTGAACAACTTGGAGTATAGCTTCTTATAGTGTGATATAGCTAAGTCAACTCCTTGAATCTTTTCTATATGCTATATCCTAGATTGCAGCATCATACTCTACTGTAAATGATAATTCTTAACATATTCATTTAGGTGTTACTGTCACTATGTATAAATTTCACGAGGAACAGGCATCAGCACGAAATTGGACTGGGAGAAGCCTTAAACTTACTTGCTGCACAACCATTTGAACCTCGCCGTTCGGAATATCTTTTAAATTGCAATGCTGATCAATTTCATCAGAATCACATCCAATTATAGCTTTATAAATTCCTCTGTGTAGGTAAGGAAACCCACAATCACCATTCAAAACACATTCAACGATGGCTATCCCAAGAGCTTTCAACTCATCCTTTTTGGTGCAGTCTTTCTTTGGTAACATTTGTCTTCCTTGTCCTTCAAAAAGATTAGCTATGCATTTTCGAAAGTATACCGAATAGTACTCTCTTCGGAATCCACTTCCATCGACGTCTAACACGTCGGTATCATTGAATGTGATCACAGGTTTTTCATGCATGGGACTGCTAATTTTAGCAAGCTGTTTCACTTTCCCAACAAATCGACCTGTTGCTTCTTCGTATATTTTATTTCTGTCAATTTTTATACTGATCATGCTTTCTCTTTTACCAATGATCTTGTCAATCAAAGGTTTTATTTCGTCACGATAAACATATAAATCTGCAATTGAAATGAAGATCCAATAAACGTACATTTTCGGAAATGGAGAATTTACGACCAGACAACTTTTTTAACTCCTTGCATTCACAGTTAAAATCTATCAAATAACTTACACTAGATATGCATAAAACAATAGTATATCAGACATCAGTATTCATATTTTCTTAATTTTGTCTTACAATTTGTTTTACGGCTTCAAACTTCTTGAATTTAGTTCAAAGCTGCAAAAACTGTCGAAATGTAATCATTTAACCGCAAATGATCTCTTTGCACTAAAGTGTCTAAATAAGATATTTACTTGTTCATTTATCAATACAATTTACAAAATTTTGAAAGGTTTTCATGATCTTAACTATTTATTTTAGGGACCAATCATTTACAACCTTTCCTACAATGCTAGTGATGAAATCGACATAGTTAAAATTTTGACTGCTAAAGAAGACAATTTCAGAGCTCTTGGGATTACATTGGTGTCTGCGAATGACAAGGGTGAGATACTAAAACAAAAAAAATATTTTTTGCAACTGGTGGCTGATTGGCCGATGAAAACATATACCATTTTCCGTTCACATGTCACGTGTTTTTCAATTGAATAACCGCAAATCATGAATCCTATATTGTAAATTCAATGCAATTTTATATCATTTTATACAAGAATGAGCTAGTAAAACCTTACTGACGATTATTACATACTCTCCTGACCAATTTGATATTTAGCGGAATTAAAAGGACATCGCACGACCTGTGATGCAAGTTTAGGAAAGAAAATATAAAAAACGCATTACTTCTGATAACGATGCAGATATTTTTCTTTCTTAAAATCGTTCTGTTTATAAATTTCCCTCAAAAGTTAGGCAAAATATAGAAAAAAAAGACCTTTCTTAAAACATGACACATACTGCATTGAATATGCATGGGACAGTTTATGAGGAAACATAAATTACATAAGAAGGCCAATCAAAAATCGAAGTTAAAAAATTGGAGAAAGACAGACATCGGTACAGGAAATTGATACATGCAAATTCTTTTACCCTGGGTAATGACAGAATATGAAAATTTGAATGGAAAACAATCTCTTAAAGAAAAAAGACGGACACGACTTCGAATATAGAAAAAGAACACCGCCACCAGTATAAAAATAAAATATCACAAACCACACTGCAAAAACTGAATCAAAAGCAAAGCAACGTACCTGCAATTGGAATGCTATATGCTATTCTAATGGCGTTACGTAGCAAGTTCTGTAAAAAAATTACCAGGTTGAGATATACTACAAGTGTCACCATTTAAAAAGTAATCTGTGTTTCACGTAACACAGTTTTTGCAGTTGTTGTATATAAAAAAGAATCTTTTTTTTTTAATTCGCCGTTTATTGATATGAATATTACCAAGAATCTAGGATTCCATCTCTCTCAAGCAAAATTGACCTTAGATGGATAATGCTATTTTTCAAAGGACCATTTATCTATGACGAGTTTATTAGTCACAATCTGCTCATTTATTCAAGTAGTTATACATTCTTCGCTATCACTTTCTTTTATGTGTATAACAGCACATTTTTCTCTTACAGTGAGTATGTTTATCGAAATTGTTAATATGTAGACTATTTGTTTTTTTGCCCTTTTCATGATTTTTTCCCTGGCTAGATATCTAACAAATAGTTTGATGTGTCCCATGTCTAAATGTTTGTATTGATTCTGTATTTTACAATGAGTTTTTGTGCAGTTATGATAGTCTTTGTTTGATTTCATTGCCCATTACAGTATGTTATGTGTGATGGTTTTTCTCTTTCTCGAGTGAGTGTACAGATTATGTTTCATTAATCGATAGTACAGCATCATCCTTATTTTCTGTTTTGGTGTTGTGTAAATCAACTTGAAATGAAACTCACAATATTTAAATTTCCGAAAATTGCAAATGATGTGAATACAATTTAAATTTCCGAAAATTGCAAATGATGTGAATACAATTTAAATATTGCTGGTAAGGTAGATCGGGTGTCTTTTTCTGATCATCCCCTCTTCGCATGCTGCATAAATACTTTTTTGTTTTAAAATATTTACCAATTATCATTCAATTCACAACAGAAACATCTAAAACTTGAAATGTAAAGATTAAACTAGCCGGAAATTAAGTGTTGTCAAGTGTATTTAAAATTTTCAGAAAAAAATCATTTTAAAATCAAGACTAGATAGAATATACGTTTTACGTATGCCAAGCTTAAATTACAATTACAGTTGTCTCCTAACTAGTGAGTTGGGAAAATAATTACTGTAACGACCACTCAATTCATGATGGTGAAAAAATAACATATGAAATGATAATTTCAAGTGTTCTTTGTCTTAAACTTTATACCAGAGTAGTTTCCGGGTTAAAATTTTACCTGTATAAGTGAAACCATCATGCAAATACCTTGTGTTATTTATATAATAATATCGATTATGTTATAGTCATACTAGAACTGTGCAATCATATACCGTGTCTTAGATATGAGCATTTAGTGGTTTTCTTATTAAAGTGTATTTTAATTTGGTTTTGGTTTTTGCTTGTTTGAAGCTTTTCCCTTGGGAAAACTGGGTGTTGTTGCAATTGAAATCTTTGCTAGTTTCTGTTTTATTTATGCACAACTTTTATTGATTTTGAACGGTCTACAACGCGACATATTGTTTACACATCTGTCTTTTGTTGAGTTCCCTAGATGTCTAATGGGTAATTTTTATTGTTTAGTTGCCGTTTATTGAAGTATATATACTAACAAATATATGTTTCTGTAAAATATTCCAAGAGTATGGTTGTAACTCATTGTTCAATGGAATCATTCACACTAGATAACCTTATCTTGCATGTAATACTTGCCTCTATATTGTTGTTGCTGGCGTTTGGTTCCGACGATGTACCACTTTTTAATTTTAGACTACTCTCCTTATTCCCCATAGCGTTAGATCCCTGTTCAAAGAATAAAAATATTTTTTGTACGCAAGTTAAACATGGTTCATTTTTGTTATATACATATTAAAATGTTTGTTTTACTTATAATTAGTTTGAGGCCGTAGAAAAACGATTGAAAGCGTAAAATTTATGTAAATGCAACTGATTCATGTGTCATTACAGAAACTAGTAATGCGAGGGATACATTTCACCGTGCATATAAACATTTATACAAATATTTACATGAAAACGTTTAACTCACCTGTTTCTTTTAGTTATAATTTATTGGAAACCAGCCATAAAGAAGTAATCACTTCCTCGTCAACATAAAACATATATATATATATAGATATATCAGAGATATTTAAATTACATAGACCTCTTCAGAGTTATGAAATCATCTGATTGATCTCGTTTATATTTTAAAACTTGGCAATATATGCATTGCATTATAATTTAGAAGGAAAGTTTTGATATTAATACTTGAAAGTCACATAAATCAGTTTTAATAATATTCGTTTTTGACTTTTCGGCTGGTATGAAAGCTCCAAAGATTAACCTTTAAGTAACTTCTGGGTAAATTCTGCAGGTATGTATATAGCTTTTTATCTTTTAAAAGAAAAATCTTCTATCAAGCATTATAATAGTAGAAATTGAAAATATGAAAAAGCTAAAATGCTTGGAATTTGGAACCGTTATTTTTTGTTATCAGATATATAGAAGACAATTATTAATTTCAATTGTATAAATACTGACTGGCTATGGTTGTGAACATGTTACATGTATACTTTTAATGTCTCACGGCTCAATAGTAAAGTGCTTGAAGGTACGACCTCTTCATACATGTGCATGTATCTAATATCACGTGATATTGATAGTAAGCAGGAATATTTTCTCTTTGTTAATCACTTCTGGCCAAACATTTGACTGGACAGTTCCATTAAACAGGCCATCAAGAATTTTGGATTGCAGCACCAGCTTCTCACTGTGTGACCAGATACACTGAATACAAGCAGCGCCTTATTGGATAATAGGACATCGACATTTTAAAGAAATCTTCAGTAGCTCAGCGTTATTTGAGTCAGTCTCAATAGTTCAAAACTACACAAACTTTATCAGAACATTCACAGTTTTAGAATATAATGTATTCTGGGTAATATTTCCAAAAGCGTACATCAAAACGTTTGATTGTCCGAAACAACGGCAATTCAACCAATTACGTGACGTTATTTTCATTTTGGAGTACAAACAACAAAATTATCCATAATAGTCCTTTAGCTTTTGAAACGGCTAATTATATCAGCATTAAAGGAGCGAAAACCAACGGCGATACGAGGTTTAAGTCATGACAACATTGACTGATTGATTGATTTGCCTAAAGAAAAGTTTTAAATCGAGTTGACACTTGTCTGAAACATCTATATTACAACTAAAAAAGGCTTATGTTACAATTGGTACGAACGAGAAAAATATTTGTTTATCATTATGTTCATAATCATTGTTATTGTTGTTGTTTTCGGTGTGGGTTTTATTATTTGTTTTGTATTTGTTTGCACAAATGAAGTTCTACTATGCATGTGATGCTTTCTTTACTCACAACAAAGTCCTCACAACAAAGTCCTCACAACAAAGTCCTTACAATTTTATTTTGCTGATAATAAACGCATGTGAGCAAACGTAATATTCTAAAACATTATTTCATTACTTTGAATCGATAATATATCATAACAGTTCCTAACAAAATTTTAGATTTAATGTATCTGTCCATGCTTAATTAGGACCGTAAGCTTCTTAAACGGATATAATGTACATTTAGAGGTAACAACTTCAATGTGGTCCTCTGTAATGTGCGCTTATGAAGGCCATTCCTGTTGTCCCTTTTAATGTTTTATCCAGAAATTTCCGTTGTCATTCTTATTTTAAACATATGATACCGATTTCAAGATGTACGACAACTTACTTTTTGAAAAAAACCTCCATCAGGTACACAAATTTGTTAATCAAAACATGAAATGTTTAGAGCGTAATAAGAAAATTAGAAGCTGTCTATTAGGCTAGTTTCTTATTGCCTACAGTAGTTTCTGGTTCTTTTTTTAGTACAGCAACATGGGAGCAGAGAAAAATCAAAAGCAGTAACAAAAACAGGTATTCATAAGTTAATTTTGTTACGTTTTTCTTTTCAACCTAGAATATAAGAACCAATACCTTACAACAGATGTCAACTGTCAATACAAACTTAGACCAAAAAAGATTAACAAAAAACAACAAAAAACAAATATAAGACAGTTATAATATTGACCCTGACTAAAAGAAATAATATGAAAACAAACAAACAAACGCCCACAAACACTACTCAGAAAAGCTAAAGTTTGAATAACATGAAACCAGAAAAACACTGCGTTGAACTCAAGTGATGTTGGAGGATTAGCAGTTCTAAACTGTGACACCTGCAGTTGCTTTACTGATGTTAAAATCTATATTTATTAGTTTACTGTATCTCACTTACGTTAAACTTTGCAAATCACTTCAATTATTCATATTTAAAAGCACGCTAAAACATATTCTAAAAACACATATCAAGAATATGAAAATTGTCTACCACAACCAATTCTTACTGAATGCTTAGTAATAACTTAATAAGATTCATAGAAATAAAAGCCTTATTGTCACACTTAATACCAACAAATTCGTGCATTTGAAATTGTTTTGCACACCAGTCTTTGTAAGTTCTGCCTGAAATTATATACGTCACTGTAGCTATAGGTTCCTTTACAAGTAAATATTTTGATATTTCATATTTTAGTACCACGAAATGAGTTTGGGAAGATCATTGAAGAACTACAGATGTTACAAACAGATAGGAAGAAAGAATTAGTAATTGATAGAGCACAGATGAGAAAAGTAGCATTACCCTTGATAAAGACACCCAAAATTGAGTTTTCCCGTTTTGATGTAAACTTTACCTCTGGAGGACGTGGCGAAAGGGTAGTGGACTTTGGGGGACCAACTAGAGAATTTTTCACTTTACTTTTGGATGATTTCAAAAAGTCAGATTTGAATATGTTCGAAGGGCAAGGAGGATATTTGTTACCAGTTTACAACAAGGCTGCTATTGCCGGGGAAATTTTCCATGGATTTGGAAAGACAATTGTTATCTCGGCGTTACATGGTGGCCAAGGATTTCCATTTTTCCCGCCATTTGTTTTGAGTTATTTTCGTGGACGAGAGTATGAGCATGAATTAAGTACATTGTTCATCGTAAACTCTTATCTGAAGGATTATATTGATAAGGTATATATATAATATAGATGATACATAATCAAAACATGTCAAAGGAAAGACAACCTTATTAAAAAAGACACGAAAAGAAAAACCATCAAACCACAAAACAGTATCAAAGAAGCTAATGATTGAGAAATAAGAATCCCCCAAAAAACCAGGAGTGAAATTCTGAAACTTTCATACATGTAGATATGAACAAAACGATTGAACGAACACCCGCACGAACGATTTAGCTATAGCGGATTATGAAAAAAAAGACAACACACAAGCCACCTAAATGACAGACTGATTTGGCCCAATTGTTATAAATTTCGATTTATAAAGAATGCTCAGCGTTATTTCTAGCTACTTTATATGTGAGCCTTTCAACAAATCTTTAGTTTCATTAATATAATAAGGCCACTGAATAATTTGTTGATAAAACATCTTGGTAATTTTTTTGTTCCCAGGAGCTGTTATTCATTTATTTTTTTTGATAAAATGTTGATGCCATTAAACCAATTTTTCCTTTATTGTGTCATTACAAAACTTTATTTCAATGCCATACTGAGTATAGATCAGGTCAAACTTAAGAACATGTATGTGATGAATTTGTTTGAATTTTTATCTGTTGCTATTTGTACTAAATTGTATATATTTTGTAATAAGTGTGCTTTAACAATCAAATCTCTGAAAAAAAATCATGTTATTCATTCTTTTTTTTTTAATATGATTTAACAAGTAAATAAACTGAAAAAATGAGTATTTGAAATCTTATTAATGTTATAATATTTATCAAAATTGTAAAAACAGATTAATGCTGCTGACTCCCAGGAAGAGTTAAACAGAACAATCGGAGAAGATACAGAGAGATTTATGGACAACTGTGGATGGTCTTGTACAGACATGGTCACTATACGTATTGGTAAAGGTATCATAACACTAAAAGCAAACGGAATTAAGATTCAAATGTATTTTACACTGTTTTTGCATATGTTCATTTTAGTAAAATTATTTTACAGGTAGTTCACATAAATAATATACAACTGCTTAAATACTGTCTGTAAATGTTGACAACGCAATTTCCCATAGGAACTCCTTTTACGTCAAAAATTGTGCCATTTTTACTAGGAAGTTTCGTAGAAAATTATATCCTAGAATGGAAAGTTCATATGCACTACTTTTTTTTTCAAAGGTAAAAACAAAGGGCTGTGCGGCATATTTTCAATATTTATATGCCTCGAACTTCGAAAAGTTAAAACTTATACTAAAATTCTGTACAACCCTCCCTTCACTGTAGGTCTTCCTCAGAAATCAATTTGGCCGCCATCCATGAGTATTTATACTGCTAAAATTCCCAAGTTGTGTCTCTATGAGATGAAACATAGAGATCATATCTGGGAACCAGTAGGTAAACAAAAACATATCTATGAATATTAAATATCTCCCCAAAAAAGGCGTGGTTAGAGAAACTGCTGTATTTACAAAGTGCAACCTGTAATATTATTTTACTGCTACAGAACTTACAGTTCTAGATTTGTAGTACAAGTTTGAAGTACATTTGCAAAAGGCATGCTTACTCATCTTTCTGTCGTGTCGAGACAACACGCCATCAAAAGTACCTAGAAAAGAAGCCTTTTCTGCCTCTACCTGTAATGTATCTATCAGACCCCAATTTTTCATGAATGTCCACATCAACATGTATAGAGTAGCCATTTTGAAGGCATTAATATGTCTTGGTATTCCAACATTTTTCAAGACAGTTGCAATTTAATTTTTTAATTTCCAAAATAAGTGAATCATTGAAGAAGAACCATTCTTAGTCCTTTACATTCAAAACTTTAATCAAGAGAAATTTTAATGATTAAAAGATCTGCTACAAACAAGTCATTCTTGTATTGAATATGGCGCTCACGTGACTTTAATATACAAGATTCTCTTTTTAATTCAGCTCGACAACAGGTTATACTATGTACAAACACTGCTGCAGTGGGACCTCGTGGACAAAAGATCTACATCGTTAAACGAAATCAGACTTGGTCTTAACTGTCTCCAGTTTCTAGACAAAGTTAAACAACTACCTGAATTTGAACATTTGCTTCTTGTTCGGAGCAAACGTGTTACAACTGCTCAGTTCATCAAAGAAAAATTGACACCTCAAGTGCATGTGTTAGAAACAGGAAACGCAGATGAAGAAAAAGCAAAGAAGTTTACCTTGAAGTGCCTCGATGATCTAGAGGGTATATTGAACATTATTTATGCTAAGAATAATCAAATTCCCAGCATTAGTATTTAATTTATGTGGTGTTTTGTTGACAGTTGTTTGTCTTTTGGTCTTTTTCTTTTTTTGCCATGGCGTTGTCAGTTTATTTTCGACTTATGAGTTTGAATGTCCCATTGGTATTTTTTACCTCTCTTTTAAGAATCCAAAAATGGCCAATCAAGAATTTTAAGTCGAATAAGGACTGACAACAATATGCAAAATGGGGATAAAAGATAAACAACAGACAACAAAAGACAAACAAACAAAGAAAAAAAATACAAAATATTTACCAACCGAAAAAGGGTGAGTTTAAGTCCTACGAGAGGTTAAGTATTATGTGATGATCACGACATGCACACACGTGAAAACTAATGAAGTGTTCTTAAAAAGTTAGCAAAATAATGTCTTTGATTGAATAAAAGTTCTCCAAGTCAATTGATCTGCAAAATGTTAATAAGGAAAGGGGGCGGGTTTAACAACTTAAATTTCCACAGGACAAGTAAGGTGGTTCAATAAATATATTCAGATAAGAGAAGATATATTATTTGGCCTCTGAAATTGCAAAATTATTAAAATTTCATGCTCTATCTTTGTCATTTGTTCCCTGGTGGAAAATTGTCTCACTGGCAGACACCCAACATCCCTTCATTTTTACATCGTTAAAAATAATGGTATTTTTTTAAATCGTATTATAATCGTAATTCTTAATTTACAGACAAGGAAGCATCAAGGTTGTTTCAGTTCATAACTGGTCTGGATGACGTGCCAACTTACGACTTTTCTATGGAAGTGGATTTTAACAAGACACATAAAAAATCTAAGCTACCAGAAGCAGTAACTTGCATTCAAAAACTTCTTATACCACTAGGTAACAAAACTATATTGGAATTTTATAGTTCCTTTGGCATTGCCTTGAATTTTGGACGGATTGGATTCGACGAAAATATTTAATCATTAACAAATGTATCAAAGTTTGATGTGCTGTCGTCAACACTCTCGAAGGCACACAACCGATGATTCAATTTGGAATGGTTAAACAGCTTCAAACAATCAAAGGCAGTATAAACATTCTATTTGCAATATTTAAATTCAATTTTCAATATAGATAAAAACTTTCGTGTACATTTTGATGCTATTGTAGTTAAATGTAAGCTTAACTCATTTTTTTGCTATACATCACTCATAAGATATTAAAAAACAACAACCACCACCTTATATTGTATTTTACTCAAACAGACAATAAATTGTGAATAAATACTATATCGTACAACTATGTATTATACAAAAAGATAGAAACACATTTATGTGTCAAACTTTCTGTAAAAAATAAGACGACAAAGAAAATGTTTACTTGTTTGACACAGCATTTGTGAAATAGACGTTTAATTTTATATCAAATTAAAAAAGATAGCAAATTTTCCCTGGATTTCTATCCCACTTTGACCGTTTTGAAGGAATCATAACATGTTTGATGAATTCATAGTAACACAGCTTGCATTTATGAAAAAAGTGCAAACATTCTATGCTAACATATTCCTATGAAGTATCTGTATTTCGAGTTACTATGGTGTGAACTTATACTTTTACGCAGTCATGTGGTAGAATATTAATATTGTCACATATCAAGGTCTATATACATCGTCTAAACTGTTAGCTGTACTAGATTCCAACTGAAAGGTATCACTATTGTCATCTTTATTTTCATAATCTTTAACCATAGGTGTACGTTCTTCAGCTTCGAAAGTAACAATCCGTTGTAAAGACCCACATGATCCTATAACTTTCTTTTTTCTGCTCTTGAGATGAGCTAAAAACACATATGTATACATTTTCAATACACAAATATTATCTTAACATTTTTTGTTCAAGATATTTCCTAACGGGTTTATATGAATTGAACCATTCAAAATAAATACAATATTGACAAGTGTCCCATTTCCAATTGTAAATGTTAAGTGAAGTGAAATATGTAAATGACAAAATAAAAGAAAATATATGAAAAAATATTTGTTTTGCCCTTAAACACTAGTTTTAATCTTTACATTTTTAGGAAATCAATGCTTTGAACGCAATCGTAAATTATAAAGGGGTTCAGTTTTGTTTCAATTGTTTTGTATATAATCATGATAATGAACATTTTGCAGTTAAATCATAAAATGATTACATTACGCTAAATTTCATAAGCGATGTAATTTAGAAATAAAGTGACTGAAATGATTAGATAGAGTATATCTCCTTTTGATTATTAAGAAAACTGTTTATGCCAATAGAATACTTTATCATTGTCTGGTAACGGATAGGCCAAGCATTCTATTATACCAATTAAAAAACAAATATGTCGATGTGGTTTAAACAGACATTTGAATATGGATTTTAATAATGAATCAGAAAAATTATGTCAGCATGTCAGCCTTAGTCATATTAGTACGACTACATATCGGTCTATATAAAACCCTTAGTGGCACTCGAAACAGTTAAAGGGCCTAATCAATAACGAAATTGAAGAGCATTGAAATCTAAAAGTTCAAAAGGGTTCTGCCAAATCTGGCTAAGGCTATATATGCCATTGAACAAAAACCGTATTGTTTCAAATTATTTCAACAATTTAATGAACAGAGAAAAACTACGGAACTGTTTTAAATTTTACAAACCTGAACAGTTCTTGACTTTATAATCTGGTATCCCAGCACATAGACATAATTGTTCAACAGACTGCAAGCTTTTCTTAAAAAATAAAGCAATTTCTAATCATATAACTGTAATCTTACATTAACAAATTAACAGATTTTTTTACAAAATTGTTTTTCTGATAATGTTATTAGATTAAACAAGGCCATTGGTTTCTCTTTTGAATTGTTTCACATTTTGTTATCCATTGGTCTGCAAAAGCTTACTATATTTTTGAGTTCTGATGAAATATTGAAAGCCGTGCGGTTACTCGCTGTTCTTGATATTTGTTTCATTTGGTCTTTGGTGGATAATTGTGCTATTTGCAATCAAATCACATCTCCTTATTTTCATATACACAGTATATATGAATCAATCATCTGAAAAACTGAATTCAAATTTACTTGTGCTTTGTATATCGTCATTCACGGTACCAATTTGTCTACACAAGATGCAAATATTATGTGTTTTTCATCACTTTAGTCAAGCTAGACCACATCCCTAGAACAAACTGATGTAATAGTCAAAGAGCATTTTACCAATGTTCAAATCTCATATTCTCATGTATCTGTTGTCCCAGATAAATAATTTCCTCTATATGATTTCATTCAACCAAAATAAAAATTGTCTATGCTTGCTTCAAGAAACATCGAAAATCTTCTCAAAGAATTACAGATAAATTTTAAGCAAAAAAATACACAATTAAAAATGAAATCACTGTTATACAAGTAGGTTGTCTGTCGTAGTTTGTCAAGTTAGTGTCAATTCCAACTCTCCTGTCATTGGAAACATGTACCAAGACAGGAATATTGACAGTCAATCGACAAGTGATCTCATGATGATCGTTTGTAGACATATCAATAAACTAGCATGCATAAATGGACACTATTAGAACATATCTTAAAGGCGTAATTATTTTATTAGTACGTGTTTATTAAACCATACCTCATATAACTTTAATTCCTTTTTGGCGTCTTTCATCTGTATTGATATTTGTTTCTTTTGTTTATATAAAAGCTTCATTCGGAAATGTTCGTGATCAATGATTGCTACAATGAGGCCTGAGAAAAGACAAATCTAAGTAATTTAGATAACTTCATAATACATGAATGTTGATATTGATAGATAAGATTGTCTCGTTGGCATTTCACCATGAGATTAAGGAACACGTAAATTGCCACACAAACGCCGATTACTGGAACTGTTGGATTCCATGTTAAAGCACGAGTTGTAAAAGTTACTTATGATTAGTTTGATTGAAAACTGATTGTCCTCAAAATGTACATGACCTCGTCAGTAGTTGTCGTACGTCATATCGTAATGTTTGTCCTTTTTTGGATAATAGGGTGTCCATGGCAGATCTTTGATCGTTCTGTTTAATTAATTTACAACTTTCAAAAGTAATGGACGATTCAGAGCTTCACATATCGCATAGATACCTGTCTTTTGTTAAAAACTGTGTGTTGACCTCTCGGAGTCTTTTTGTTAATTTTTTTTTTCAGTTGATTGCCTATCTCATAAACGGGTAGACCTTATCAGTTTTTAATCGAATGAACAAATAAAACACCAGCACGACTTTTTTTTATTGCAAGTTATAGAACATTTATGTAATATATAACAGCAGAAATGTTTCATTTCTTGTAGACATAATCTAATGATAATATCCAACGAATTCGACATACTACTAGAATTTACTTGTGTTATCAACACGACGGATAGCACTAATAGAAAATGAACTGTTTATGTGATGTTGTCGTTTTGGTGCTGAGTTAGACGTTGCCATTAAAACTGGAGGTTTGGCATGCCACAAACCCAGGTTCAACCCACTATTTTTTTCTTAAAATGTCCTGTCCTAAGTCAGGAAAATGGCCATTGTTATATTATAGTTCGTTTCTGTGTGTGTTACATTTTAATGTTGTGTTTTTGTTGTGTCGTTGTTCTCCTCTAATATTTGATGCGTTTCCCTCAGTTTTAGTTTGTAACCCGGATTTGTTTTTATCTCTATCGATTTATGAGTTTCGAACAGCGGTATACTACTGTTGCCTGTATTTATCCTTCCAGATCAGTCTACCCGGTCTCCGAAATTTGCGTTGCTTAATTGGTTGTGATTGTCATTCCACAATTTCTTGTTTGGCCCATGGTGTGATCTGTTTTTTTTTTTTTTCGGTATTAATTTGGCCTTCAAACTGTTCAACTTCAAATCGAGCGCCCCTGGTGCTATTCGTGTAGATGAAACGTGCGTCTGACATGTTGTAATTCTGCTATCTTTGACATTTTTTTCGACTGCACCATGGCATACTAATATTTTTTTGTATAAAGTAGCAATTTGTTAATATTTGGGTGATCTAGAAATTTTCATATAGTATAGGTGTGTATTTATCGTGTATATCTGTATGTTAAACTACAGGTTGTCATCTTTCGTTATTTTGAGTATGTCATTTGGTCCACATTTCCGTCAATAAATTAGAAGGACACAACCTTCATATTTATTTCATAAAGGATGGTTCTAACCAGTGTGATAACATAAACATACTATTGATAAAATATTTTCAAAATATAATCTAATTTCCAATTCTACTTACTATTAACAACTCTCAAAACTCTCCATGGGACTAAAAATGCCAATATGAAGACAAACTCTTGTATTGAGTACATCGTTATTCCTTTGATGAATGCAATGTCCAGGATGAACGATGCAAAAACTATGAAACCATCAAACACCTGTTAATAAAAAAGAAGTAACAAAACAATGTTGAACTTATTTTATCACAAAAGAAAATGTTCATCACCTTTTTTAATCTGCAATAGTTTAAAAGATGGTATACTAAAATTAACTTCCGATTATTCAATCCTTGTCACATACTAAAACTAAATAATATAGTATTTTTTGCTATAGACATCCTGTACCATGTTTAGTTAAATGTAAAATAAGACAAAAATATGTCAAAATGGGGATATTATATTAAATGCACATATTGAAAATATAGGCAGATTCATCCTACGAAATTTAGATTAACTAATTGCACATAAATATATAAGACTATAATTTTTGTAATGATTTATAACAAAAAGTGTCCTTAATTTTTTTATTGAAAACATTGTTTTGTTATGTTTGGTGGGCGTGTTTTTCAACATTACATCATTCGTATGACAAACCTGCTACTCCTCTTGACGATTTGTTCTTTTATTCATATAAGACGGACTTCATACAGGAGCTTCCCTTTAAGAATGAAATGTAACTAGCTTTATCCTAAAACTTCACTTTTCTCTATATGCATAATGTCCTCTAACTGAATAATTGATATAGAAATAGGAAGATGTGGTATAATTACCATTGAGACAACTATATTCATAGACAAAAGGTCAAAACTGTGAACAATTACATTTTACCGTATGGCCTTCGACAATGAATAAAAACGTTAAGTAAGCTATACAATGCATGGATATAACCAGCAATTCAGAAGAGAAAACCAATGGTTGATTAATAGTACAACAACGAATGAAAACAAATATGGCAGACAACAATCTGAACAAAGTTTAGCGACTATGTAGATTGCAACCACCCCTTTGAACTTAGAATAATTTATAGGAACCACAAATATACGCCTGATTCATATCCCGACTTACATCTAAAAACAGACGATGTGAAGGTTTTTTGAGAACTTAACTTTATGACAAAAATGATTTCAACTTTCCGATTGTAAACTTTCCATTTCTGTTATCAACATTCTAGCCAAACCTGCATATG